CCTCATTCGGATGCTGAGTGTATATTCGTCTGAGCTCCGGCTGTGACTTTCCCAAATCAGGAACGGGAATGCGGATCATACCAAACCGAATATGTTTGACCGCCTCAATGCATGAAATACAAAGAGGTATTTCAAATTAAATCTCAAACAATCAGAGAAAACATGCACGTCCATAAAATGATGGAAATCAGGTGCACACACACACACACACACACACACACACACACACACACACAATGTGGCCTGCAACATCATGCCTGAGCTCATTAAATAATAAGATGACCTTTTTGCATGTTTTCCCATGAACACTGAGCGCTGAAACAACAGCAAACATCACTGTAATGATGACACGAGGGAGTTCAGCACTAAACACGCTGTTTAACCACCTGTCCGAGTCATTACTACACACTCCGTTGAGTTATTACACGCCAAGCGACATCACATGACCCTCTGCGTCAGAAACAAGCTTCAACTGTAACACAGAAACGCCAACCTCTCACACAACCACACACTCCTCATGCGATCACTGGCCTGACAACCGGGACTTCACCTGTGACAGGGGAGATTAACTGGTGCAAAAAACTGAGCAATCCAAATCAAATTCATATTTACTTCTCTCAAACATTTATGCAAACCATTACCTGTAAGAAAAAAAAAATGCAAAACAAGTATTTTCACTGGCAGATTTTTGAACCCAGCTGTATGTAAAATATAAAATCACTCAATCATTCCCGAAAAAAAAAGTTTCTTAGTAAATAAATCACATTAGAAGCAGTTGTAATATCCAAATCCTACAACAGATATTCAACTCTTCGTCTCCCAAAACAACCAATATAGTAATTGTAAATAGTAATAAATAAATAAAGCACTACTGAAGAGGATTGGATGATTCTCTACCTCTCTTTCTGCCTCTCATGACTGTGTCTGTCCGTCTCTTGTGTCTTTATTATCAGTGTCTCCCAGCGCTCATCTGAGATCATTGAGCCGAGCAACAGTGACGAGGCAAACACTGAACCCTTACCTACTGAAACACACATTAACCTTCACACCACACCGATGCGGAGCTGCTCTTCTGTGCCAGAGGTTACAGGTATAAACCCTAGACAACACCTCACTCTTACATCAAGACCACTGCTGTTCTCTAAACCTGTAATGCCTTCAGAAATGTGAAACGTGATTTATTTATTGAGTTCATGTGTTCTCAGGAACGCCCCGCGGATTAAAGACTCGGACTAATAATGATTTGCACACACTGTTTTTGCGATCTCACTAACGGTGTGTAGATCATCTGAGCAGCTCAAGTGAGAAAATGCTGATTTGTTTAGTAAATTATTGAAAATCAGATTAAACGAAGTACTCTCTGTATCGGATCACCCACAGAACCAATCAAATCAGAGTTTAACCATAAAACTATAGTAATAACATCTTAGTTAAAAAAATTCAGGTAACACTTTATGTTTTATTACATACACTACACTATAATACATATATATATATATGTGTGTGTAAAATGTGTGTGAGTAATCTGATTACATAATGCACGTTACTTGTGATGCGTTACTTGTTACATCAAAAGTAATCTGATTTCGTAATGCACATTACTTGTGATGCGTTACTTTACTCGTTACATCAAAAGTAATCTGATTACGTAATGCACGTTACTCTGATGCGTTACTTTACTCGTTCATCAAAAGTAATCTGATTACATAATGCACGTTACTCTGATGCGTTACTTTACTCGTTACATCAAAAGTAATCTGATTACGTAATGCACGTTACTCTGATGCGTTACTTTACTCGTTACATCAAAAGTAATCTGATTACGTAATGCACGCTACTCTGATGCGTTACTTTACTCGTTCATCAAAAGTAATCTGATTACGTAATGCACGTTACTTGTGATGCGTTACTTTACTCGTTCATCAAAAGTAATCTGATTACGTAATGCACGTTACTCTGATGCGTTACTTTACTCGTTACATCAAAAGTAATCTGATTACGTAATGCACGCTACTCTGATGCGTTACTTTACTCGTTCATCAAAAGTAATCTGATTACGTAATGCACATTACTTGTGATGCGTTACTTTACTCGTTCATCAAAAGTAATCTGATTACGTAATGCACGTTACTCTGATGCGTTACTTTACTCGTTCATCAAAAGTAATCTGATTACGTAATGCACGTTACTTGTGATGCGTTACTTTACTCGTTCATCAAAAGTAATCTGATTACGTAATGCACGTTACTTGTGATGCGTTACTTTACTCGTTCATCAAAAGTAATCTGATTACGTAATGCACGTTACTTGTGATGCGTTACTTTACTCGTTCATCAAAAGTAATCTGATTACGTAATGCACGTTACTTGTGATGCGTTACTTTACTCGTTCATCAAAAGTAATCTGATTACGTAATGCACGTTACTTGTGATGCGTTACTTTACTCGTTCATCAAAAGTAATCTGATTACGTAATGCACGTTACTTGTGATGCGTTACTTTACTTGTTATATAAAAAGTAATCTGATTACGTAATGCACGTTACTTGTGATGCGTTACTTATTACATCAAAAGTAATCTGATTACGTAATGCACGCTACTTGTGATGCGTTACTTGTTACATCAAAAGTAATCTGATTACGGAATGCACGCTACTTGTGATGCGTTACTTGTTACATCAAAAGTAATCTGATTACGTAATGCACGTTACTTGTGATGCGTTACTTATTACATCAAAAAGTAATCTGATTACGTAATAAACGTTACTTGTGATGCGTTACTTTACTTGTTACATCAAAAGTAATCTGATTACATAATGCACGTTACTCTGATGCGTTACTTATTACATCAAAAGTAATCTGATTACGTAATGCACGTTACTTGTGATGCGTTACTTTACTCGTTCATCAAAAGTAATCTGATTACGTAATGCACGTTACTTGTGATGCGTTACTTTACTTGTTACATCAAAAGTAATCTGATTACGTAATGCACGTTACTTGTGATGCGTTACTTTACTCGTTACATCAAAAGTAATCTGATTACGTAATGCACGTTACTTGTGATGCGTTACTTTACTCGTTACATCAAAAGTAATCTGATTACGTAATGCACGTTACTTGTGATGCGTTACTTGTTACATCAAAAGTAATCTGATTACGTAATGCACGTCACTTGTGATGCGTTACTTTACTCGTTACATCAAAAGTAATCTGATTACGTAATGCACGTTACTTGTGATGCGTTACTTTACTCGTTCATCAAAAGTAATCTGATTACGTAACGCACGTTACTTGTGATGCGTTACTTGTTACATCAAAAGTAATCTGATTACGTAATGCACGTTACTCTGATGCGTTACTTTACTCGTTCATCAAAAGTAATCTGATTACGTAACGCACGTTACTTGTGATGCGTTACTTGTTACATCAAAAGTAATCTGATTACGTAATGCACGTCACTTGTGATGCGTTACTTTACTCGTTACATCAAAAGTAATCTGATTACGTAATGCACGTTACTTGTGATGCGTTACTTTACTCGTTCATCAAAAGTAATCTGATTACGTAACGCACGTTACTTGTGATGCGTTACTTTACTCGTTCATCAAAAGTAATCTGATTACGTAATGCACGTTACTTGTGATGCGTTACTTTACTCGTTCATCAAAAGTAATCTGATTACGTAATGCACGTTACTTGTGATGCGTTACTTTACTCGTTCATCAAAAGTAATCTGATTACGTAATGCACGTTACTTGTGATGCGTTACTTTACTTGTTATATCAAAAGTAATCTGATTACGTAATGCACGTTACTTGTGATGCGTTACTTATTACATCAAAAGTAATCTGATTACGTAATGCACGCTACTTGTGATGCGTTACTTGTTACATCAAAAGTAATCTGATTACGGAATGCACGCTACTTGGGATGCGTTACTTGTTACATCAAAAGTAATCTGATTACGTAATGCACGTTACTTGTGATGCGTTACTTATTACATCAAAAAGTAATCTGATTACGTAATGCACGTTACTTGTGATGCGTTACTTTACTTGTTACATCAAAAGTAATCTGATTACGTAATGCACGTTACTTGTGATGCGTTACTTTACTCGTTACATCAAAAGTAATCTGATTACGTAATGCACGTTACTTGTGATGCGTTACTTTACTCGTTGCATCAAAAGTAATCTGATTACATTATGCATGTTACCCACAACACGGCTCTTTTCAGATGAGATTGAAAACACCTGATCGCTAGTTTTTCCACAGTCTGAAAACATCAATAGATCAAAGTTTTCTCAGAGAGCTTCAGTAGAAATGTGTCGTTTTTGAACAATCAGAATTATCAGCTAATATGGATAAATCGACGTACTCTGGTAGACTGGACGGAGCATGAGCGTTTTCTACATAGTCGGAGTTGGGTTTCCACAGAGTTGCACCTTCACCGGCTGTAAAGACCTTTGATGGAATCATGTCCTCATGTTCTGATATCAAAGACATGCAAAGTTCAACTTGAATGAAGTTCTCCTCTGTCTGCAGGTCAAACAGGAACAAACTCAATTGCATTAACAATAATTGAAGCTGTATTATATTTTTGTATATATTTTTCAGTTTTCACATGATTTTTTTATATAATTTATTATTTGTTAAGTACACACAGTATTACTGTGTTATATCTCTTCAGTTAAAAACAAAAAAGCATACAGTCCACTCAAGTTGACATATGAAAATCTCTTTGAAAAAGTTCAAATACTGTTTTCAATAAAAGAGCAATAAAAACACAGATAGTCAATTCATGCATGAAAGGGTTAATAATACTTTATTTATTTCCTACTTATGCACTGTTAAGCATTATATAGTGTAGTAATGTTAGATCGTGTTCTTAGTGAAAGTTATTATAACGCGTTACCAACAGATTCAAGCTTTTATATATTATGTTCTCCAAGTCTGTAAAGTCTGAAACTCCTGATGTAATGTTACAATATTTGTTAATACAAATGAAAGTTGTAATAATTTGCCTATCTTTGATGGCGTGATCATGTACTTAATAACTCTATATTTCTCCTGCAGAAGGAGAGAGTTAAACTTTAAAAGCCCGGAAGTGTCGTGATATGCGCATGCGCGAAACTCCTGCAGCTTTATTTACATAATTTCCTCACAAACATAAACACAAACACACGGTACATTAAATCTCATCACAGATATCCATTCTGGTAGATTTGAGCTTCCTTAATGTTTGTCCGAGCGGAAAATTACTAATTGTGAATTAAAACGGTGTTTGTTTGTTTTCAAACCTCATCAAGATGACTTTACACTGTTATAAACGAAACTTCGAGCGTCTCTTTTTTTCTATAGTGACTCTAGCGATGATATATAATGACTTTTCATGGAAAATGTGATTTTAACTACAAGCGTATTAGACTGAAGAAACTCTAGGCAGTTTTTATTTTTTGCTGAGTAACTGAATTTAACCCTTTAGTGAGCCTAAAGACAAAACACTGCATTTCCTGAATATTTATTTCTGATTAAATCATTTACTTACTGTATTCCTCTGATGTTTTTCCTCAGTTTGGTCTTGTGTGGTAAAGAGTTATTTCATCCCCGCTCCATCTTGTGTTTCCGACACCGTTTTCTCGGCCGTTCAGACCGAAACGAACCGCCGGTTGCCAACACAACGGTACCGCGAAGCCCCGCCCATCTCTTGAATATTAATGACGTAACGCCACGCTCGCCCAGTACGCTTAGCTGATTGGTTTAAAGCAGACGTCGGCAAATGAGCGCAACATCTGGTAGCCAATCAAAGAATCACTGAATACCTAAATATTAATTAGGTTACGCAACCTTTTTTTCTTCTTTTTTCTACTATCCAACCAGAGTATCCAACGAACTTTAGTATCGTATACAGAATTTACATATTTATACCCCCCCCCCCTCGATTACTTTAAATTAATCGATCAATTAATTTAAAAAACGGTGTATATTAATTAAATATATGCCAAGTCTTTTTTGCTTTCTTATGGAGTCTCCTGAAGAAAATGAATACGATTTTGACCATTTCTTCTTGTGTATATGAAATTTTCCCGAAATAATAAAAAGTTGTAAAATAAAAGTTAAATTATAATTAGTAGTATTACTTTAATTGGAATAATACATACATATATCAAAATTATTTAATCATAACATTTGTTTTCCTTCTAATTCAATTTTACACATATACACTTTGTCTACATACAATTACAAAACAGATGGATAATAGACACGAGTAATGAATAATTTAACCTCTCTAACACACATTTAGCTGGATATATAGCATGTACAATTTTAAATGTAACCTCTTTTACTTTATTATTCAAACAGTATGGGATACAAGTCCGGAAGATTGGCAACCAATCGTATTCTGATTAATATTCATGAGCAAATCCTTCATCCAAAATGACGAGTTTTCTTTTGGTGAAGTGCATTTAGATTTTTATCTAATGTACTAAAACTGACCTTAAATAACGCTAAGAGTTTTACAAGTGTACAATGAGTTTGCCTTGTCTTTGAATTCCTCTTGAGACGCGCTCCTCTAATACAGAGGCTCTGTTGTTTTTATGGACAATATCTCCATTATCCGCGGGACCGGCCTGTGACATGAACAAACAACTACAACAACAGTGTTCATATCAGCATTTTATTGAACTGAAATGCCTCAAATCACACACACTAACACCATATTCACATACAGTTACCTTGATAACACATGTTTAAACCAGCCAGGTGAGACTAGTTAACCAAACACCTAAAAAACCACTGAAACCAAACTGGTCTGACCAGGGCAAGGCTGGTTTAAACCGGTTTTTCCAGCACCAATTCACTTAATACTTCAAACAATACAACTTTTAATTCCAAATAAACACATTTTACATTTCCAGTGCAATCACTTAATGCCAAATAACTGCTATATTCATTTGTGACTTTATATGATCAACAACTAATATCATCTGCATCACATTTGCATGTCAAATGAAATCATTAAATGGTTCAAAATACATTTAAAAATATAATCATATGGGGCTTCCGGTATGCGACGGAACGAGGTGGACGTGTGAAACGATAGCTCCGTAAAGTCAGACGATTAAAACCCCTTGAATTCAGCTAATATTATCTAAGTTTAGGTAAAAGACTCGGAATATGAGCGGGGGTACTAAAACAAGAAACCAAAAGATGACTGGAAAAGCGGAACAAGAGGGACGCAAAGGAGGTGAACCGAATACACCAGATGCTAACAATGCTAGCATAAACGCACACAGCAGTGTCTCGACTTCTCAACCAAGTTTGAAAGATATAAGCGATCAAATAAGCAACCTTCGAACTCAGCTAAATGCCGATCTAACATCGTTTAAAGAAGAAGTAAAGAGAGAAGTGAAAGAGGAACTGTCAGAATTCAGACAACAGATTAACCAACAGTTAGCTTCTACGACGCTATCCTTACAAGAACATGACAATAAACTCGAGGAGGCGGCGGCGCGAATTGAGGAATTGGAAAGTTGGTCGGCAGTGGCAAATGAAGTGCTCCAAGAGTCACTAAAAGAGCAAAGGGCATTGCGGGGAAAAGTTGACGATTTGGAGTCAAGGGGGAGGCGAAACAACCTCAGAATATACGGGGTACGCGAGGAAATGGAAGGTCCCTCTGTGATTCAATTTGTGGAGAAGCTGTTGGTGAGCGAAAAACTTATTGAAGAAGGGACTGATGCCCAAATACAACGCGCACACCGCTCACTTGGCCCGAAACCGACCCCCGACACCCCCCCGAGATCAATAGTTGTTAACTTTCTTCAGTATAGAGTCAAAGAAGCGGTTCTCAGAAACGCCTGGAAAAAGAAGATTCAGCTTGGGGATAAATTTCTCTCTTTTGACCACGACTACACAACAGACGTGATCCAGCAACGCAAAGCTTACAAAAAGATTAAGCTTGTTTTGAAAGAGAACGGCATACGCTTCCAGACGCCATACACCCGATTGCGTATCCATTGGGAGAGTGGCCAACAGACCTACAACAGCGCTGAGGAAGCCGAAAGAGATCTGCATCGCCGAGGTCTTCTAGTTGAGGGCCACCTCGGTGTGGATAATACCAGCGGAACTGGCACACCAGCGACCCGAAGACTGGACCAAACATCGCCATGGCAACGCATGCCCCGGCGCGGAGAGAAGGAGACAGCCAAGAGAGCACGGGAACGGCTACAGGAATTCCAACGGAAGTTCACTACTTGATCCGAGAAGACAAAGACGTGGAGACCTGAGGGAAATAGGTACTAGCTATGTTCCAAAGAGCTGTGTGTTCAGTTGCTTTTTGTCACAGACTGTCAATGATGTAAACACTAATATTGTCACTCTTTTTTATGATTCAAATAGTCTGATTTGAACGAGCTAAAACGCCTAAGGTAGAATTAGTGGAAAAGCTCTTGTTGTTTTATACGCTGGTTCTGGGAGGGGGTCCTCTCTTAGAGGGAGGCTTTCCCCCTTACCTTATTTTGGCGAAATGGGGGAATTGCAAATACCCTGCCTTGGAAGCCTTTTTTCAGTTTAACGTTATTTGTTCTGTTGCTTTAAGTTCAGTTTTGTTTTTATTTTTATTTACAAAGTTCATGTTCAAAGTTCATGGTTATAAGACAAGCAACCAATCTGAACCACCTCGCATTTATGATGCACAGTCAGAAGCTTAAATTAATGTCATTGAATGTCAATGGATTAGGTAACCCAGTAAAGCGGGCAAGGGTGATGAATAAGATAAGGAAAGACGATATGCACATCATCTTGCTACAGGAAACACATTTAGGAGCTTCGGAGCATGAAAAACTTATTAAATTTGGTTACAATATATTTTATAGCTCATATTCACAAAGTCATAGGAGGGGAGTTGCAATACTTGTAACCAAAAAAATAAAGCTTGATATTTTTAAAGAAATAAAGGATAAGGAGGGTCGATATATTCTAGTAAAGGGTAAAATCAATAATAATCTTATGACATTGGTTAACATCTATGCACCACCGGAATGCGAAACAACATTTTATAAAGAATTCTTTGATACACTCACAGCAGAAGCGGAAGGGATCTGTGTATGTGGAGGGGATTGGAATTCAGTCTTAAATTTGAAACTAGATACCACAAGTAAAAATAGGAGTAAAAGAAATCTTACAAAATTACTAAATATTTTGTTGGAGGAAACTGGCATGGTGGATGTGTGGAGGAAGCTCCACCCAACTATGAGGGACTATACACATTACTCAGTGCCTCACTTGGTTCATTCAAGAATAGACTATTTTATAATGAGACAGGAAGATTTCTACAGGGTAACCGAATGCAAGATCGGAGTCACTGATGTTTCAGACCACAGCGCAATATATTTAACTCTTAACTTGGAGAATAACCCCAAAAATACTGTATGGCGATTAAATGTGGGCCTCCTTAACAACCAATCAGTAGTTGGATCTGTCAAACAGGACATCAAAACATTTATAGAAGAAAATGACAATGGGGAGGTGGATCCATCAATAATATGGGACTCGCTAAAAGCTGTCTTACGAGGAAAACTAATAGCCAAGGTAACAAACATTAAGAAAACTAGGATTGAAGCATATAAAAGATTAATTAAAGATTTAAAAGATAAAGAGGAAAAATTCATTTTGAAAAAAGATCAAGACACTCAAAAAGAAATTCAAAAATTGAAAATGCAACTTGAAAATTATTTAGATGATGAAGTAGAGAAAAAAGCTGGATTTACAAAACAAGCATATTATGAACTAGGCCCAAAATCAACAAAGTTTCTCGCTAGAAAACTACGCAAACAACAAGCGGACTCAACAATTTTGAAAATTAAAGACCCTATCTCGCAAAAGCTTCGAACTGAGCCAAAAGAAATAGAAAACACTTTTTATCAGTACTACAGCAAATTATATTCACTAGAGGGCGCTTCTAACAAAGAGTCGATTAGAGCATTCCTAGACAAATTAGACCTTCCCTGTATAGGAGAAATACAAAATAAAAGAATATTAGCAGAAATCACATCAAAAGAACTGGATAAAGCAATAAATAGACTAAAGGCAAATAAAGCCCCAGGTAGTGATGGTTTCCCCGGCGAGTGGTATAGGACTTTTAAGGTAGAATTGAAGCCGCTTCTTCTTAGAGCTTTAAACTATATCCATAAAGAAGGCAAGACCCCTCCATCATGGAAGGAAGCAATTATTACGCTGATCCCCAAAGAAAATAAAGATAGAGATAATTGTGCCAATTATAGACCAATATCAATTTTAAATGTGGACTATAAGCTATATACATCCATCATTTCTAGACGATTTGAAACCTTTATTTCTGATATAATTGATGAGGATCAGACTGGCTTTATAATTGGTAGGCAAACGCAAGATAATATCAGAAGAAGTCTACATGTGATTCACAATATCTCCAGCAAAAAGCTTAAAGCGGCCTTGATCAGCCTCGATGCAGAAAAGGCCTTCGATCGAGTAAATTGGGATTTCCTATATCTAACGTTGGAGAAATTTGGCCTTACTAATGACTCTGTTCAATGTATTAGAGCAATTTATGATAAGCCAACCGCAAGAATAAAAGTGAATGGATCTCTGACAGACCGGTTTGAACTTAGTAGAGGATGTAGGCAGGGCTGCGGATTAAGCCCCACCCTTTTTGCTTTATACATTGAGCCACTCGCTCAAGCGATTCGGGAGAAAGAGGATTTAAAGGGGATTATGATCAACGAAAGAGAACAAAGGATCGGATTATTTGCGGACGATATATTGTTATTTCTAGAAGATATTAACATATCACTTCCCATACTGATGGATCTTTTGGGAAAGTATAATGAATATGCTGGATACAAGTTGAACATTTCCAAAACCCAAATACTATTGTTTAATCATTCACCCTCAAATGAAACTGCACGCACATATGATATAAAATGGAGCACCAACAAAATTAAATACCTCGGAGTATTTCTATCCAAAGATTCTTCACTACTATATAATTTTAATTACAACCCAATAAACGAAAGTATTAGAACAGACATCCAGAGATGGTCTACTTATCCACTCGGCTTAAGTGATAGAATAAAAGTGGTAAAAATGAACATCCTCCCTAGGCTACTTTACTTATTTCAATCCCTCCCGGTAAATATTCCGTCAAAACAATTCACAGAGTGGGATAAGCTGTTATCGAAGTTTATATGGGATGGGAAGAGGCCCAGAGTTAGGTATTCAACATTACAGCTGCAGAAGGATAAGGGGGGCATGGCCCTTCCAAATTTAAAAATGTATTTCTATGCAGCTCAATTGCGTTACCTGTGTTGCTGGTGTGACCCTAGTTACTGTGCCAAATGGAAAGAGATTGAGACATGCATCCCTGGGTACAATGTTCAGACACTCGTGGGAGAGGACCATATCCCAACTGATGTAATAGAAATACTTGGCCCAATTGCACAACTCACAATGGAAATTTGGTATAGTGTAGCAAGACAATTAAAATTGAATAAAGAAAGAAAAATATTAAGATGGGTAGCTCATGACAAAGACTTTAAACCAGGAATGCATGACTCAAATTTCAAATTTTGGACCAATAGAGGGGTTACAGCTTTTTGTAATTTAATTAATAATGGGGAAATAAGAAGTTTTCAATATCTGAAAGACAAATTTAGTCTAGATAATCGAGACTTCTTCCGATACCTGCAACTAAGAGAATACTATAATAAAGAAATTAAGGACAGAAACGAACCTAATGCAGTTTTAGAGACTCTGTGTGGTGCATACCAACAGAAAACACACAAAATTACTTCAAAGCTATACACTAGCTTAATGTCCTGTCAAAAAAACACAACCCTGTATGTCAAAGAAAAGTGGGAAAGAGAAGCAGCTGTCACGATCTCAAATGAAGAATGGTATAAAATCTGTGAGTTGTCACAGACATCTACAAATTCACAAAAATGGAGAGAATTCAATTGGAAAAATTTCATTCGATTCTTTATCACGCCATCTATTAAAGGTAAACAACTGTCCACCCAACAAGTATGTTGGAGGCAATGTGGCTCTGTGGATGCTACCCACACACATGTTTTCTGGGACTGTCTTGAGATAAAACCTTTCTGGACTTCTGTCCACCTTATTTTCTGCAAAGTACTGGAGTACTCTGTACCATTAACTTTTACAACAATGTATCTGGGTCTTTTGTCCAATGTAAAGAAAGATGATCGATATCTGGTTAAGATATTATTGTCGGCAGGGAGGAAAGCGATAACAAGAAGTTGGCTCAAACCTGAGCCACCCAGCCATACTCAGTGGATGGACATTGTGCAGGAAATATTCACCATGGAAAGAATGACCTTTATTCTAAGACTGAAAGAAGCTGAATTTAAAGAAAAATGGAGCAAATGGATAGCATATAGATTTGCATTAGAAACTGTGTAATCTGAAGTTTTTTCTTTATTATATATATATATATATATATATTTTTTTTATATATCATGACATCTGGTTGCTGTCTTATGTTTATTTGTTCATTTTTATTTTATTTTTGCATTATGTAACCATACTCAAAATTGAGATCACTATGCTTTGTCTTTGACCTGCCTAAAACAATAAAAATAAGAGTGAAAAAAAAAAAAAAAAAAAAAAAAAAAAAAATATAATCATATTAAAGACATCCAGTCATGTGACCGCAGCAGAAAATGTTACACACAAACAGATAATGATAAAAACGGTTAATACTAGTGTCTGATTGGACAAAGAGTGAGGTCGTGTTGAGGTCAACTCACAGCAAAGCAATGCATTCTGGGTAATTGGACAATCATCAACTTTTCCCCATCATCTTTAGCAGGAGCTTCAGGAGATAAGAGGAAATGCCGATCAGTAGTAAATATTAAGTATAAAAATAGCAAATGTAATTGTAACTTTTATTCGGCTAAAAACAACAATATATGATAATAAACCTGTGTGAGGCGGTAGTCCTCTTCAACGAGCTGCTCTATGATGCTGAAGTGATCGGTGTCGGGAACGTCTTCAAAAGAGACCGTGAGACCGGCAGATTCCAGCGCCTGGGAGACCAAAAACACTTCATCAACATGCAAACTTTAAAACACATTCCTGCAAATTCACATTTTCACAACACACATCATTACAACACAGCTTTACAGAAAGTGCACGAGTCCACATAACAGTTTACAGTGATCTGTCATCAGAGGAGACTGTCTGAGTTATGCATTTCAGAAATGTACATATACAAAATCACAGTTATCGAAAAATGTATTAATTTAAACAGTGTAATAATTTAAGGCAGAAACAGTGAGCTCATTGAATAATAATGTGGGGAAGCAAATGTTGTTACTTTGAAATATTCCTCTGATTGCTTCCGAAACTCGGGCGAGTCGTTCTGCGCCACAGCGACGATGATGTCACAGGAAGTAGACGAGACTTTGAGCTGCGACAGGAAGTGACTCGGGCTGTTCCTTAATGCCACTTCCCTGAAACAGAATCACAACCACGGGATTCAATGGGGTTTAGGGAAACGCTTCCCACAACAGAACTATAGGGTCGTAGGGCTCAAATAACAACTCGAATTTCGAATAATCGGCAAATAAAACAACTAAAAAATCGTGCATTCGAATTTTTGGTGTGTCGAGATGCGCGCGAGACATGATGATGACGTAGCAGACGCGGTTTGTGTTTGTTAGCGGATCCCGTATACAGCGTATGCGGCTGTGCTGGTAATGTGACATGGCGGGAAAAGGCTCTTCTTGATGAGGAAAACACTCTCAGGTGGAGGCAAAAAACGTGCAACGACACACTCTACCAAACCTGCACATCGTTTAGAGATGAGTGTGTGTTCATCAGCATGTGAGTGTGTGTGTGTGTGTGTGTGTGTGTGTGTGTGTGTGTGTGAGAGAGGAGAGAGAGAGTGTGTGTTTGTGTGAGAGGAGAGAGAGAGAGAGAGAGAGAGAGAGAGAGAGAGAGAGAGAGAGAGAGAGAGTGTGTGTGTGTTGAAAACACTGTCAACAGAAAGCGCTCAGCATGTGAGTGTGTGAGTGTGTGTGTTTGTGTGTGTGTGTGTGAGATAGTGTTGAAATCATTGTCAACAGAAAGCGCTCAGCATGTGAGTGTGTGTGTGTGTGTGTGTGTGTGTGTGTGTGTGTGTGTGTGAAAGAGTGTGTTAAAATCATTGTCAACAGAAAGTGCTCAGCATGTGTGTGTGAGTGTGTGTTTGTGTGTGTGTGTTTGTGTGTGAGAGAGTGTGTTGGAATCATCGTCAACAGAAAGTGCTCAGCATGTGAGTGTGTGTGTGTGTGTGTGTGAGTGTGTGTTTGTGTGTGTGTGTGTGTGTTTGTGTGTGAGAGAGTGTGTTGGAATCATCGTCAACAGAAAGTGCTCAGCATGTGAGTGTGTGTGTGTGTGTGTGTGTGTGTGTGTGTGAGTGTGTGTTTGTGTGTTTGTGTGTGTGTGTGTGTGTTTGTGTGTGAGAGTGAGAGTGTGTTGGAATCATTGTCAACAGAAAGCGCTCAGCATGTAAGTGTGTGTGTGTTTGTGTGTGAGAGAGTGTGTTGGAATCATCGTCAACAGAAAGTGCTCAGCATGTGTGTGTGAGTGTGTGTTTGTGTGTGTGTGAGAGAGTGTGTTGAAAACATTGTCAACAGAAAGTGCTCAGCATGTGAGTGTGTGTGTGTTTGTGTGTGTGTGAGAGAGTGTGTTGAAAACATTGTCAACAGAAAGTGCTCAGCATGTGAGTGTGTGTGTGTGTGTGTGTGTGTGTGTGTGTGTGTGTGTGTGTGTGTGTGTGTGAGTGTGTGTTTGTGTGTGTGTGTGTGTGTTTGTGTGTGAGAGTGAGAGTGTGTTGGAATCATTGTCAACAGAAAGCGCTCAGCATGTAAGTGTGTGTGTGTTTGTGTGTGAGAGAGTGTGTTGGAATCATCGTCAACAGAAAGTGCTCAGCATGTGTGTGTGAGTGTGTGTTTGTGTGTGTGTGAGAGAGTGTGTTGGAATCATCGTCAACAGAAATTGCTCAGCATGTGAGTGTGTGTGTGTGTGTGTGTGTGTGTGTGTGTGTGTTTGTGTGTGTGTGTGTGTGTGTGTGAGAGTGAGAGTGTGTTGGAATCATTGTCAACAGAAAGCGCTCAACATGTGAGTGTGTGTGTGTGTGTGTGAGAGTGTGTTGAAAACATTGTCAACAGAAAGCACTCAACATGTAAGTGTGTGTGTGTGTGTGATAGAGAAAGAGAGTGTGTTGAAAACATTGTCAACAGAAAGCGCTCAGATCAAGAGCGTCTGGTGTGTGTGTGTGTGTGTGTGTGATGATCATGTAGGTGTAGTGAGTAGAAGTGTGTGTTTCTGAATGCCAGTTTGATGGTGTGTGTTGATGTAGTTCATTACGCTGTGTGTTGAAGTGTTTTCTCAGGTTACTGATGCACAAACACACTTTAACGCACTACTGTAACCTAATTTTCCTTGCATGCACATTAAGGAAATAATATTTCATTTAAGAACAATTGTTTCAAACGTTAATGTACTTTAAAAATTTAAGTGAATGTCATTTAATTTCACTAAAAGATGCGATGCTTGATCTGGTTTATATGTGCTTGTTGCGCTCGCCCTCTTGTGGACACAGGAGACAACACAGCACTTTCCCTCTAACATTAACAAGCATTGCCTTTAGAATTAGAATATAATTCGACTTTTGCTCTTAGTTTAAGAAAGACATTTGAATTTAGTTTTTCAGCCATTTAGACAGCAGCCGATGTTCGATGTTGTGTGTTGGAAGGCCTTGCATGGACACTCACTCGTTCATCTTCAGCGGCTCGTTCACGTACGTGGCCAGAATCGGCTGCAGGTCGTAAACGCCACTGACCAGAACAGCCCCTGAGGCACAGAGGAGCAGAACCCTCCAAACATCACACTTAATCTCTCAATATGATCGCAGTGATGAGTAAATATCAAACTGATGTGGAAAGAAAGATGCACAAACTCACTTTACAACTTTGAACTCTTTAAAACAGTGGTCTCAAACTCGCGGCCCGCGGGGTGATATTTTGTGGCCCCCTACTTGACATTAAATTTTAATGTTAGTGCGGCCCGTCGTTGCGTGTGCCGCGTTTAATTTTTTATTTTTTTTTATCCCTTATGGGCTACCATAGATAGTCTCGTGACAGCTTACGGTGGGTTTGTTGTCAATAGTTGTCATAGACAACCGCGAAGTACAAACATACTGCGCCTGGAAAAAATGAGCGTGTCGCTTCAATCATGAGCAATAACGAACTTGAGCGCGCAAAATATGCGAGCGCAATATGTGAACGGCCCCTTGGCGAGCTACCACCAATCAGGCCACGAGCTATTGATAGCTCACGAGCGACGTGTTGGAGAGAGACCCTGCTCTAAAACAATGTGAGAATAATCACTTTGAGCTTGTAATATGTGTCTAACAGGTTGATAAGAAGGTTTGCTTTGATTTGTGCAGTCAGTAATTTGAGACACTATACATGTGTAGAAAGAATTCAATAAGACGGGCAGACATGACTGCAAATATTTGCATTTCAAAAGCAATAATTGTTTTTCTAAGTATAATAAAAGGAAATGTGCCTTCCAAAAAAAAAACATTCAATATCATTAATGTGTTGCGTATAAAGAAAATAAAAAGGACATAAGCAAATATAAATATCACAAATATGTGTTATAGACAAAGAAAGTTTGTAAAATGAACTTCAACTGTCAGAAGGACAGCTCATGAAGAACCAATCATGTACAGAAAGGAATGTTCAAATTCAGAGGAACAGTTCAGAAGAAACGTTAATAAGAAATATTGAGAAGATTGGATCAGTTGTGCTCCTTTTTTGGAATACTTGAATACTATTTTTTGTGGAATACTTGATGCGGCCCAGCCTGACCCCGACTCTACCTCCAGCGGCCCCCAGTTAAGTTGAGTTTGAGACCCCTGCTTTAAAACCACTGTATTATATTTAATACACACCTCTAAATGATCAACATGATATTTTCACACACTCTCCTCCAGTCCTTCTGTGTGTGACAGAGTTTAGACTCTTTTATCCAGTAAAAGTCTCTCAGTGTAATTGTACAAACGTCCTCCTTCAGCTCGAGCTTCACGAGTCTTTCTGTGTCAAATCTACACTGAGTTTATCAAGTAAACGCAAGAATAACTCTGATATTATTAGTAATATTTCAGCTGGACTGAAGCAGGTTTACTGATCATAATCATCATTTATTAGAAAAATCATGAGTATCAAATATGATCATCAGGCTTTTGAGGAAGGTTTATTTCTCTAAATCATCGTTGTATTGAGTTTTAAAACTACAGATCATAAAACTAAGCAATTAAATATCATCTCACTAAGACATATTATTTATATGCATTTTATCTGCTATAAAGATCTCAATGATTTACATTACAAGCATCCGAATTTCATCACTTTTAGTGCATTTAAATATCAGCGATATCAGAGTCTCTGAATAAAATTGAGCAGTTTTTTCCTTCATATTCTCACTATATGAGTCTATACGAGCCATAAAAGCCTGATGGATCAAATATGAAAAAAAAAAATGAAAAAAAACATGCAAACGTATTTATTTCTATACAGGTGAAACCCGAAAATTAAGAAAATTGTGCAAAAATTATCATTTTGATGATTATGGCTTATAGCTTATGAAAACCCCAAATTAAAAATCTCAGAAAATTAGAATATTACATGAAATCAATAAAAAAAGGATTTTAAACACAGAAATTTCGGAAATTTATGGAAGCTTGTTTCCGCCACTGAATAAAAAAAAATATATAATAATAATCGCGACTTTTTATCTCACAATTGCGAGATATGAAGTCAGAATTGTGAGAAATAAAGTCGCAATTCTGAGAAATAAAGTCGCAATTCTGATAAAGTCGCAATTGCAAGATATAAAGTCGCAGTTCTGAAAAAGTCGCAATTGCAAGATATAAAGTCGCAATTCTGAGAAATAAAGTCGCAATTGCAAGAAAAAAAGTTTGTATCTCGCAATTGTTTTTTTCTCACAATCTTTTCTCAGAATTGTGAGATATAAACTCGCAATTTGCGAGTTATCAGGCCAATTCTAAGGAAAAATAAAAGAAAAAATTTTTCCTCTCAGAATAGTTTACATCTTGCAATTCTGACTTTATAACACGCAATTCCGACTTAATATTAATCAATTCTGACTTTATATCAATCAATTCTGACTTTATATCAATCAATTCTGACTTTATATCAATCAATTCTGACTTTATATCAATCAATTCTGACTTTATATCAATCAATTCTGACTTTATATCAATCAATTCTGACTTTATATCAATCAATTCTGACTTTATAACACGCAATTGCGACTTTATTTCTCGCAATTCTGACTTTATAACACGCAATTGCGACTTTATATCTCGCAATTCTGACTTTATAACACGCAATTGCGACTTTATATCTCGCAATTCTGACTTTATAACACGCAATTGCGACTTTATATCAATCAATTCTGACTTTACAATCAATCAATTCTGACTTTATAACACGCAATTGCGACTTTATATCAATCAATTCTGACTTTATATCAATCAATTCTGACTTTATAACACGCAATTACGACTTTATATCTCGCAATTCTGACTTTATAACACGCAATTGCGACTTTATATCAATCAATTCTGACTTTATATCAATCAATTCTGACTTTATATCAATCAATTCTGACTTTATAACACGCAATTGCGACTTTATATCAATCAATTCTGACTTTATATCAATCAATTCTGACTTTATAACACGCAATTGCGACTTTATATCTCGCAATTCTGACTTTATATCAATCAATTCTGACTTTATAACACGCAATTGCGACTTTATATCAATCAATTCTGACTTTATATCAATCAATTCTGACTTTATATCAATCAATTCTGACTTTATATCAATCAATTCTGACTTTATATCAATCAATTCTGACTTTATATCAATCAATTCTGACTTTATAACACGCAATTGCGACTTTTTATCTCGCAATTCTGACTTTATAACACGCAATTGCGACTTTATATCAATCAATTCTGACTTTATAACACGCAATTGCGACTTTATATCAATCAATTCTGACTTTATATCAATCAATTCTGACTTTATATCAATCAATTCTGACTTTATATCAATCAATTCTGACTTTATGTCAATCAATTCTGACTTTATATCAATCAATTCTGACTTTATATCAATCAATTCTGACTTTATAACACGCAATTGCGACTTTATATCAATCAATTCTGACTTTATATCAATCAATTCTGACTTTATATCAATCAATTCTGACTTTATATCAATCAATTCTGACTTTATATCAATCAATTCTGACTTTATATCAATCAATTCTGACTTTATATCAATCAATTCTGACTTTATAACACGCAATTGCGACTTTATATCAATCAATTCTGACTTTATATCAATCAATTCTGACTTTATAACACGCAATTGCGACTTTATATCAATCAATTCTGACTTTATATCAATCAATTCTGACTTTATAACACGCAATTGCGACTTTATATCTCGCAATTCTGACTTTATAACACGCAATTGCGACTTTATATCAATCAATTCTGACTTTATATCAATCAATTCTGACTTTATATCAATCAATTCTGACTTTATAACACGCAATTGCGACTTTATATCAATCAATTCTGACTTTATATCAATCAATTCTGACTTTATAACACGCAATTGCGACTTTATATCTCGCAATTCTGACTTTATATCAATCAATTCTGACTTTATAACACGCAATTGCGACTTTATATCAATCAATTCTGACTTTATATCAATCAATTCTGACTTTATATCAATCAATTCTGACTTTATATCAATCAATTCTGACTTTATAACACGCAATTGCGACTTTTTATCTCGCAATTCTGACTTTATAACACGCAATTGCGACTTTATATCAATCAATTCTGACTTTATAACACGCAATTGCGACTTTATATCAATCAATTCTGACTTTATATCAATCAATTCTGACTTTATATCAATCAATTCTGACTTTATATCAATCAATTCTGACTTTATATCAATCAATTCTGACTTTATATCAATCAATTCTGACTTTATATCAATCAATTCTGACTTTATAACACGCAATTGCGACTTTATATCTCGCAATTCTGACTTTATAGCACGCAATTGCGACTTTATATCAATCAATTCTGACTTTATATCAATCAATTCTGACTTTATAACACGCAATTGCGACTTTATATCAATCAATTCTGACTTTATAACACGCAATTGCGACTTTATATCTCGCAATTCTGACTTTATAGCACGCAATTGCGACTTTATATCAATCAATTCTGACTTTATATCAATCAATTCTGACTTTATAACACGCAATTGCGACTTTATATCAATCAATTCTGACTTTATAACACGCAATTGCGACTTTATATCAATCAATTCTGACTTTATATCAATCAATTCTGACTTTATATCAATCAATTCTGACTTTATATCAATCAATTCTGACTTTATATCAATCAATTCTGACTTTATATCAATCAATTCTGACTTTATATCAATCAATTCTGACTTTATAACACGCAATTGCGACTTTATATCTCGCAATTCTGACTTTATAGCACGCAATTGCGACTTTATATCAATCAATTCTGACTTTATATCAATCAATTCTGACTTTATAACACGCAATTGCGACTTTATATCAATCAATTCTGACTTTATAACACGCAATTGCGACTTTATATCTCGCAATTCTGACTTTATAGCACGCAATTGCGACTTTATATCAATCAATTCTGACTTTATATCAATCAATTCTGACTTTATAACACGCAATTGCGACTTTATATCAATCAATTCTGACTTTATAACACGCAATTGCGACTTTATATCAATCAATTCTGACTTTATATCAATCAATTCTGACTTTATATCTCGCAATTCTGACTTTATATCACGCAATTGTGAGAAAAAAAGTCAGAATTGTGAGATAAAAAGTCGCAATTACCTTTTTTATTTTTCATTCTGTGGCGGAAACAAGCTTCCAAAGAAAAGTATGATCATGCATATGTATATAGTTATATATACTAAATATATTAGTTCCACCTTTTAATTTGAATTACTGAAATACATGAACTGTTGCACAATACTCTAATTTTCCGAGTTTTACCTGTATATATTTTGTCTAAAGGGTAAATAAACTCTTCCATTTAGCAAATATATTACATACGTCAGGCTTCACAGGGATATTAGTGTCTAAATAAGGGCTAAATACAACAGAAAGTGGTGTTTAATATCCACACCTTTGATTTGCGGGGAGATGTCGTACTCGGACCAATCGGTGGACAGGACCATGGCGGCCAGGTGTGCTCCTGCAGAGTGACCACACAGGTAGAGCCCGCTGGAGAAGCAGAGAACAGCATGAGCACAGGCGTCCCATCAGCCACCTCTCTACCTGACGCATGAACACACCTGATGTGCGAATACTGCTGGATCACGGACGCCACACTCCTGCGCACCTGAGACACCATCAGGTCCATGTTCCCTACACATACACACACACAGACACACACACACACTGCGTCACAATTCGCCTACTTGAAGTTTGTACCTTTTTGTGAAAAAAAAAAAACATACTTTTGAGTGTATAGCAAAACTTTTGGGACGAACTTCTTCGTCATCTTTAACGGACGCTCTGTTGCTTAGTTACGTGCTTAAACTGGCCTGTCAATCATCTTTCTCGGTTAAAACCCTCCATTCAATCTAATTTAATTTCTAATCTAATTTTTGATCTGCCGTCGCGGGTCTCTCATGCGGAGACTCTCCTCGCGTGTTTGCAATTTGAATATAATGATGCATTTAAAAGTTTAAAATGGATAAACATATCTTTACAAAAGTTCCCAAATGACATATAATGTGGACAACATTGAATAAATACATTTTCGTCAGGTTAGATACTGATAATTAATCACTCAAACCCCTTTATTTAAACCTCTACATAACGCCGGACTCACACGTCCGCCATGTTTGTAGTTTAACACTTTTCACTCGTGTTTGTAGTTCTAATCGAATCCTCGTCCAACGCCCGATGGGTTGTGGGTAATATTAGCCGTTAGCGTGTTCACGGATCTGCGTTTCGGATTCTGACCGGATATAGTAGACCATCCGGGTCTCTGTGGAACACTTAACACCACACTACGATTTGGGACGTACTAATTCTACGTTCGAATAGCATTTAGGACGGATAGTAAACGAATTGGAACGCACTGATACAAAACACATCATTTTCCCATGATCCTCTGCAGTCGTACCTGTAGGAGCGGTGCTGTAACCCACGGCGACCACGACCACGCCCTTCTGGACCAGCGGCGGGGCCAGGAACCCGGACTCGTCCTTACTGGGACCCGGCACACACAGAGTTAACATCACTGATATACCCGTATGGGGCTTATTCATATTTAGAATTATTTACATTTATATTTTCATTTTAATTTAAGCTTAAGTTTTAGTAATTAAAAAAAAAAGTTTTTCATTTTAATTTTTACATTTATTTAAAGCTTTAAGTTTTAGTAATTTAAAAAAAAGTTTTTAATTTTAATTTTTACATTTATTTAAAGCTTTAAGTTTTAGTAATTAAAAAAAAAGTTTTTACATTTTATTTTATTTTTAAATTTATATATATATATATATATGCTTTCGTTATTTTAGTACTTCAAGTTACATGTTTTATTTCAATCGGCGTTTATTTTTAAGTAACAAAAAATTATGGCTTTTTTGGGAATTTAAATTAAAACGACTACTTGAGTGCGTTTCACATTCCAGATGTCACAATTAGTGTCGGCGCTTTCGAAACACGAAACAATAAAATTATATTTTATTATTTTTAATTAATTTATATATATTAAATATTTATAATTTATTTATTTTTTATTTATGCTTTCGTTATTTTAGTACTTCAAATTACATGTTTTAATATCAGTCAATGTTTATTTTTAAGTAACCACATTTTTTTGTATGGCTTGTTTTATTTGGAATTTAAATTAAAATGACTACTGTTACACAATTAGTTTGAATCGTTTGTTTCGAACCAGTGATTCGGAGCTCATATAAAGTCACGTGACTTCGGCTTCGTTATGACATCATCGTTTCGAAAAATGCAATGGTTCGCCAATAGTTGGTTCGCAGATGGTCTCTGCGGTCCCATGAACAGCATCTATATGGTTTTTTAAAAGTTTTATAAATCTGTAGACATTTGTATAATAAAAGGAAGAGTTTTAGTTATTGGCCTGATTAAGTTATAATGCATGTATGGTTGTTTCATTCATAACAGGACGATTATTCCTACAGAAAGTGTTGACGTAATGAGAGCTTGCCGTTTCTTGCATATTTTAAAATTATTATGATTTAACGATGTGTTCTCACTAGTTATATATATATATATATTATATATGATATTTGATGTGGAGATCACATGGAAATGTCCCGGTCACGGAGGAAGCGAGGGATCAGACCTGAGGAACTGCCAGTAACCTCCATGAAAGTAAATCACCAGCGGCAGATCTGAAACACATGCGCCGGAGAGTCAGTAATAATGACCTGATGATGAGAGAAACACACACACACTCACAACAAACACGTCTCGTCCTGATCACATTTCACACAAAAATACTAAAAAATTATATTCTATATCTCTCTCTCTCTCTCCATATATATATATACAGTATGTAGTTCCAATTGTAAATACTACTGTCTCTATCCAATTGATGACTAGAAATTAAAATGTTGAAAATCAAGTTTCCTCCTTAAAACTGCAGTGAACCAAAGACAGTCTCAAACACACGGTTTGAAATCGCTGGTGTTTCTGACGTCACAAACGACCTTGTAACCAATCAGATCAACGTGTGATCGTCAACCAGTGGATCTCTGAGCTGAGTGAGTGAGTGGAGGCGGGGCTCATCTGCATATTCATAGAACCGCGCATACTAAATGAGGCAAGGGTGTCGAGTTACATTCAAGATAGTTTAAGGCATAAAGACATTTTTTCAAGGTAAAATATGTAATTTTGGTGATCAAAGATGAGTTTAAAGGGAAACAATAATTGACTACAGGGGGAGTTTAAACTAAAATAAACACGACAAAATAAAAATAAAAACTAATTTAAAATATGAATAAAACAAAAATAACATTTGTGATGTAATTCAAGACTGATTATAACTGTAACACACCTGGACTGGAGCTGCAGGGAAGGTAAACATCCAGTTTCTCTCTGTCACCTTCACCGTATGGCACGTCAATCAAAGTCTGAGTGACAGCTCGAGCTTTCTCTGTCCCTGCACACACACACACACGTCTAAATTCAGTATTATTGGACCAAAACGCATGTAAACAGTCACAGATGTAGGTCACGTGCTCAAAGCTCTTTTACACGCTGCTTCGGAGCATCTGTGACGTGTATTCAGATGAAGATGAGGTATTTCCCTGGGTTTCATGAATGAAATTAAATAAAATCTTCCTCCTTACACACAAACAGGTTTTTGTAGGATACAAACACGCGCTCACCTGATTTTAAAGCGGCCACGTGGGCTCTGATGACGTCATCCGCGGACATCCTGAGTGACCAGCGACTCGGCGAGTACTGAAGCTCGAGCTCCTGAGGAACACACGTGACTGAGCAAGTACTGAACTTTACTGTCTATTATGGTATTGAAGCGCGAGCTCCTGTCGAACACACGTGACTCTGAGTGAGTCCTGAAGCGCGAGCTCACAGATGAGCAGACTCGTGCGCGCGCAGCGACCCCTGCTGGCAGGACTCTGTCATTATAACACATACTAGCAATAGCGTTGCTCTCGTAAATATTTAATATAATAATCTCCTGATTTCCTCAAGATAATTTTTTAAGAGATTATTTTATTTCTATTTATTTTTATTAATGTATTATATGTTTAATTTCTATTGCTTTAAATGTTTTATGAATCCATTATTTTAGTAGACTATCTCTTACTGTATCTTGTTTGAAAATGTACTTTATTGCGTTGCTCTACCTCGAGTTTCTTATCCTATTTTTCGTGTGTGTGTGTGTGATACATGACATGTATCCCCTGTGATCCCCAAAAAAACACACAAAAAAAACAAGCATACAGTGCACAATATGTGGATTTGTATGGAATTCCAAGATGATCTATTTTATATTTATATTTAACTAATATGCAATGCACTCTATCATTTCCAGTGTAATAAATTAACCTCAGGTAGTCGGATGTGATTTTTCCACATCTTTCTTGACTATTCTTTATTGGGCTACTAAAAGTTAGGGTTTTTATAGAATTAAAAATGCAAAATAGTCATATTTATTTCTCAGATGATAACTGGCTGAATTAAACAGTCCTAGTGAGGTAATGTTTGAAACATTTACTGTTGCATTCAGTTACATATACTAATAAAAAAAAAGTATATATTGCACATAATACCCTATGGAAGCCCATTTCTACCACATTAAAAATAACTTTTTTATGACATAAAAATAATAATAATATAATATTCAAATAATAATATACTAAGTCATAAATATGACATAAAATTTCAAAATTGTGACTAAAGTTGAAATGACAAAAAGTCAAAATTATGTCGAAATTATCATTCTATTTGATTTTTTATGTCACAATTATGACTTTTTAATGTCATAATTTAGATTTTTTTTTATGTAATAATAATGTAAATGAGCAGTTTTTAGATCAAAGATAGGAAGTTTCACAAGTACTTGTGATTAAATGTAATTCTTTATAATTACTAGTGCTTCAAAATCGCATCTAACATTTCATCCAAGTTTGTATATACTTGCATATGTATGTGTGTGTGTGTTTTATATAGGCATATATATATATATATATATATATATATATATATATATACATACATACACACATTTACAAACATGTATATTAAATGCGATTAATAGTGATTAATCGATTTGACAACATAAATAGTTATTAATAAATAAATACAATTTAAATTGGCACTTGAAATATTTCTCTTATACCAGAATGAATTTTCAGTAATTTATGGACTCATTTCACAATCAACCGTTACTATATTTGATAAACAATCTTTGATTTGACACACAAAAACACTTACATCTGTGCTCATTTTCTTCCAGTCGCTCATGATGATCTTCTGCTGGTTTAGACCTTTGAAACTGCAGCACAAGTGAGGGAACCTCATATCATCATGTGTTATTGACACACGGTCAATAATTAAAAGCTTTAAAATCATAAGGCTTGTTCGACTTCATGCAGCTCTGCGCAGACCGATCGGCGGCAGACTTGAAGCAGTGCATGCCGGTTAGAAATTTTGTCCGACTTGATACAGCGCCGACGCCACGTGACTGTGACGTATGCCATCAAAGTACCGCGAGAGCGATTCGAGAGTAGCCGGAGGACTCACGCCCGTTTCACACATACTCCGTGTGCAGTGCGTATGCGGTGCGTGTTGCGGTGCGTATGCGGTACAGGAGCAGCACGCGCTATAGTGCTTTCACATATGCTGCGTGCGTTTGCAGTGCGCAACTGATCCGCGGCTGTACCACAAACACATTTACTCACTATTTGTATTTCAAAAAATCATCAATCAAATCAAGTTATCAGCAGCAAAAGTTTTTGCCTCCAGTGCAATTCTCTTTGTAGGCCTATTCACGTTTAAAACACAATTTAAACAACGTATTATTCAATGCATTACTTTTATATAGGCCTAGATTATATATTAAGTTGCTCAAGCAAGTGGTAACATATTTAACCATGTACTTATATTAAAATCGCAAACATTTTAAATTAAAACTTAAAATTGACAAAAACAGCAGACTCATACCTTTTCTTTTGCATAATTCAAATCTGTATACAATAAATCTTGCATGTCACAAATAACTTGTTTTTCCACCTAAACGAATGAGACGAGTGTCGTTCATTATGTGGCCTTGTTGAAGTAAATTGTAGCTTTCTTTGCTTTACCCCGGTCTTAAAGTAAAAAGATGACTGTGAAAAAAGTAGTATTTAATTAAATGCATTTATGGTTACATTTTATTTAATTAAACACATTTATGGTGAGATTACTACATTTTATTGAATTAAATGCATTTATGGTGATATTACTACATATTCAGGTCAGTCTGTGTTCATTTTGACCACGAACCGTGCGCTGTCACTTTAATTCAGCGTTTGCAGCACAGCAGAAATAGACTCGGTGCGGAAACGATCTCTGCACTGCTGTATACGCACCGCAACTGGAACGGATCGACGGACCGCATCCGCGTGCAGTGTGAAAGCTCTAACCTGTTAACATGGGTACGGAAAAAAATACGCACCGCATACGCACTGCAAACGGAGTATGTGTGAAACGGGCGTCAGCCAGCGCAGCTTCTGAAGAGCGGCTGCTCTGGGCTGCACGAGCTCTGATGACGACACAGCTGTTCCACGATTGGCCGGATTCACCGCATGACAACGATCACGTGCGTTTCGTGTTTATTCTCACACCTTTAGTTCACACAAATCAGTTTTTTATAACAGTAAACACTCTTTTCATGTAGTCGTGATGTTAGGCTATATTGTGTTATGTTTATCAAAATAAAAGTGATTAAAAAACGTCGACTGCACTTCATTGATAGTGGCTATTTTGAACTTTATTCTTGTTCAAACAGATGCAGTATGAAGCAGTACATAAAGTATTGAATGACAATGTGTCTGAAACATCTGTGCATTTGGCAAATATTGAATTTATTTCACTTCAGCTGTGGTAAAGTATACAAACACCACGAGCGGTCACTACGGGAACCAGAAAGTGTCCGACTTCACGTCTCCGTTTGCAGCTCCTCTCCGCCTGCACGCGGCTACTCTCGCCGATCGCTTACATCCAGCCGCAGCCGATGTCGAACACACCTATAGTTTAAAACACGTCACAATGTGGAAGTCACGTGTTTGCTTCGTTCATTCAACCGTAATTTGGCCCATAATTATACTGGATTGGTGGGTATTAAACGCTAACCAAATTTAGACAACAAAAGAGCAGTTTTGTACCCACTTAATGCACTCTTTATTCATTTTCTTTATTTCTAAAGCACTTTTGTTTACATTCCCGCCTGAACGCTTCCTCATGCCGAGGAACTTCCCCCGCTGTGACGTCAGTAATTTAGAAACATACTGGATAGGCGGCAACCAATCAAATCACAGGAGCTCATCAGCGCTCATTTTGATTTGCAGATGTGTTCACTGATGCGCGCGCCCTCGATCATGATTGGTCCTGAAGAACGTGACGCTGCAGGAACTATAAAACGACAAACTGGCGGTGGCGGGACGTTCAAATCCTGCTGTAAGTCGCACTGTATGTCGAGATAACCATAAAACAGAAGAAACACAGACAAAAGACATGGATTGTTTGAATGTGGCGAAGATTTTACCCAATTCCCCGCGGAAGACATCAGGACAGATCCAGGTGCGTGACCGGTGCACTTTTTTTTACGTTTTTGTTGTGGATTTGAAGCTTTTGTAAATGTAAATATTAATGACATCAATATCTCTTTGTCATTTTCTCAGATTATTTTCGGACCGATGTTCTCAGGAAAAAGGTGAGCGAATAAATCCTCACTACAGGCATGATATATGAATTATGACGGTAAAACTCTGGTAAACTATGTTTTGGTTCAGCGGAATGGCGCCAAATGCAGATGCAGGCGCGAGACCAGTTACAGTGTGTGTGTGTGTGTGTGTGTGTGTGTGTGTGTGTGTTCACTGACCCTCGCAACAAAGACTCCCACTGTAAATACTTTTATGTAAATACTATCCTAGTTTTTTTTTTAGTTTAGCTGTTCCTGACGTCACAAGCTGTGTTTATAATAATAGCACGTCATTTTTTGGGTTTAATTGTTGGAGAATCCGCTGAAACACACGCGATGTGATCACTCTTCATATCACGGTCTGTGAGACTCTAGTGTCGCTTTCTTGTGATGTATATGAAGTTTAGTTCAAACCAGTGACACTCCTGATGTATTAAAAGTGTGTGTGTGTGTGTGTCCAGCACGGAGCTGATGAGGCGTGTGAGGAGGTTCCAGGTCGCCCAGTATTCCTGTTTGCTCATCAAATACGCCAAAGACACTCGCTATTCTCAGACGGGCATGGCCACACATGACATGTAAGAAGCGCTGGACGTGTGTGTGTATAACTGATGTGTGTGAGTGTGTGTGTGTGTGTGTGTGTGTGTGTGTGCAGGAGTATGATGGAGGCTGTTCCTGCTAGTCTTCTGCGTGATGTTCGGTCTCGGGCTCTCCAGACGTGTGTGTGTGTGTGTGTGTAACTGGTGTGTGTGTGTGTGTGTGTTCCTGTGTTCAGGGGTAACGTGTGTGTGTGTGTAACTGGTGTGTGTGTGTGCAGGAGTATGATGGAGGCTGTTCCTGCTAGTCTTCTGCATGATGTTCGGTCTCGGGCTCTCCAGGCGTGTGTGATCGGCATCGACGAGGGACAGTTTGTACGTGTCCATCATTATGACGTTCTCAGTCTCATGTTATGCTTTATGAGTTCTTCAATAATTCAGATCTTTGGGTTTTGCAGTTTCCAGACACCGTTGAGTTCTGTGAAGAGATGGCCAACATGGGGAAAACCATCATAGTGGCAGCGCTCGATGGGACCTTCCAGAGAAAGGTGTGTGTATATAGATATTAGGGATGCTCCGATCAGGATTTTTGGGGCCGATTGCCGATTACTGGAAGCTGTATCACCCGATACCGATTACAGGGTCTATTTGAAGACTTCTTTTTATCATGTAGCATTATTTATTAAACTATATTTAACAACAATGTACATTAAGTATTACATTTAAGAGAGACAATGCATAATGAATTGACACCTGTGTATTTATTTGCAAGCAACATGTATTAACATAGCAGCTTAGTTATTGGGAGCAGCTTAGGGCTTGACATACAACTTTCCTGTAGAATATAAAATAAAATAAATAAAAGACAGAACATCTGAGTCTTTAAATTTAGCTTTAGACTACTTTAAACTAAAAACAGCAACAAAAAAGGCTATAGCCAAAATAATGTTTTGAGTCAGTCAGCCATCAGTTTTTCTAATACACTTAAAGGACCACCGGTAGTAAAGTGCACAGCAACAACAAAACTAACAACTTCCATATCTGTATCTATAACTTTGCTTTTTTCTGGGATGCTTAGTCAGATTTTGTGGGCATTTAGAGAGGAAGAGAGAGGTAGAAAAACCTGTGTGTGTGTGTGTGTGTGTGTTCTTGTTTTCATGACAACTGAGGACATTTTTATGATAACACACCTTTAAAATGAGGACACTCGGAAAAATGAGGACATTTCCTGAGTCCTCATATTTCAAATGGCTTTAAAAACACACTAAGCAGTGTTTTATTAAAAATGTAAAAAATGCAGCATGTCTCCTGTGATGGGTAGGTTTAGGGATGGGGCAGTGTAGGGGGATAGAATATACAGTTTGTCCAGTATAAAAACCATTACGCCTATGGAATGTCCTCATATATCACAAAAACACAGCTGTGTGTGTGTGTGTGTGTGTGTGTGTGTGTGTGTGTGTGTGTGTGTGTGTGTGTGTGTGTGTGTGTGTGTGTGTGTGTGTGTGTGTGTGTGACCCTTGCAAAATTATTTTAAACAGATTAAGAAAGCCACCACTACTGGACACATCTATGGTTAGATTGATTTTTTTTTTTTAGATCCAGTGAAGTCTGTCCCACCATGTACCTAATATAAATAAATAAAACATCTTCAGTTAACTAGCAGATCAATCATTTAGTTCGCTATTAAATAAGAAATCTAGCGCTAAAATGTGTTTTTGAACTCCAGCTGCGCGCTCGTTGCCGTGGCGATCAGTGTCATGGATACAGTGCTCTGTGCCTCGCGCAGTCTTCACTCGGACGCGCTTCAATCTATCGCCGTTGCGGACTCTATTCATTCCGGTGTAATCACATAATAAAACACAAAAGTATCCTTGCTTGATATAACTGTAACCGCTGATGAACATATTCAGTTTTGATGAGAGAAAAAAATATGTACGAGTGATTTGACGGACGCACGGGGAGGGGGGGTTGGATACATTTTTGTCATTGGTTGTTGCGTTAAATCTTACCCAGATACAATAGTGCTATTTTCTGATTGGCTATTGTGTAGCTCGACGAACAACACCAGAGGAAACGCGCTTGATTCATCCCGGTTCCACAGTGAGAGCGGCGCGGCCAGAGTTTTGGGCGCTGCGGCATATTAAATATATTACAAATAGTTTTTCAGCGTGAGAAATACAATGTGTGGCGGGAGAGCGTGACAGTCACTCATTTCGGTCTTCTGTCACGCTCTCCCGCCACACATTGTATTTCTCACGCTTGACTCAATGCTTGACACTTGAGAGCCCTGTTGTAGAATTGCCAGACCGGTGAAGCCATTTTTACCAGGCGTAAAAAAATTGTCTCGCGAGTTTTGCGTCATCTGATCGGCTTTTCTGGATCGGCCTTTATAGAGACCGCCGATCACACATCCCAAAGCAATTATCGGCCGATTATGATCGGCGACCGATCAATCGGAGCACCCTTAATATATATATATACAGGGCCATCGCTAGTGGGGTGAAAGGTGGTGACAATTATAGGGGCCCCCGCTGCCCAGGGCCCCCACAAAATCCAGCAGTTATTCTATTTAGGCCCCTGTTGTATGAATAATTCTAAATTAATAATTTATATTAGTTGTATGCCTGAGATTTAAATGAAAACCACAAAAACGTGCAATTTGGGTAAATATTTTTCCAAATATGTGCTTCTCTTACCTCCATAAAAATGGTTTAGTCCGACCTAAAGTATGTATTAATTATTCAGTCAGAGTCAGTGACAAACATCAGATGGACCCAATAAAATTGTAAGTCCCGCCCCAGCTCGTGAACAGAACCAATCAGAGTTGAGGCGGCAGCCTGAAGATAACGATGAACTTGGTGGAAGAGCAGGAGACTGACTGACTGAAAAATGTCGGGGAAAAGAAAACATAAATCAGGGAACCAGAAATGCCAGGAAAAGACGCAGAGGGAGGCAAGGAGAGTGGTTGTATCCCAGTCGATCAAGACGTTCTTAAAGACCGGTTATATAATGTTATTTCACTGGGAATTAGAAAGCTTCCGTCTACAGTCTGCCGTGTACAGTCATTTTTTATTATCGGTGCGCGCCGCAATCGACCGAATGATTACGTGGTCTAATTCCTGTCTTTTTACACTATTGAAAATAGAGTTTTAAAAAAAAATTACACGAGTCACGACGCATTGCATTATGCATCTGACCTGCCGGCTGATGATATTTAAAACATCGAGAAAACACGAATACAACACACTGCACTTGAATGAATAAATGTATTCGCTTTATTTAATAATATTACCAGTTCCATATTCTCTTTATTAAAAAATAAGGCAATGAATGCTTTTATTTTTTTAATTAGACTGCATTCTTGTCAATTTTTTAAATGTTTACTTTTTGATTTATGAATTATAACAGACTGATGGGGAAAAAAATGTATTACTTTTTAAAAATTGGTTTTATTATTATTTAACAATTTCTTGTTTTTTTTATTAGTTGTAATTTTTATATAAACATTTAACTTTTAAAATAAAGGTTTTACAACAACATCACCATCTTCTGTTATATGTGGGTCTCCATGTTCATCTATTGTACAGTATATGATATTGGTGGAGGGTGGTGGGGGCCCACATCAATATTTTTTCAGGGGGCCCCGAATCCTCTAGCTACGGCCCTGTATATTCAGGGCTGCACCTTAACTTTTTTTGCACACAGCACTGGTGCCACTGAGATCGAAAGTTTCTAGCACACGTATAAAGCGTCTGACTGCGACTATAGTTTATCTCGGGTCATTTCATAAGAATAAAGTATATTTATAATGCAATAATCAATCTAGGCTTTCTCATCCTAAATAATGCTGTTTCATTTTAAATGTTATAGTTTGTTATATTTATTAATATATACATTTGATCATTTTACATATGTATTATTCTCTGAGCGATGTTGCTAACCTTTGACCCTTGTGTGCGCAGCCCTTCGGGAACATCCTGAATTTGGTTCCTCTGGCGGAGAGTGTGGTGAAGCTGAACGCCGTGTGCATGCAGTGCTTTAAAGAGGCCGCTTACACCAAGAGACTGGGCTCTGAGAAAGAGGTACACACACACACACACACACACACACACTGCAGTGCTTTAAAGAGGCCGCTTACACCAAGAGACTGGGCTCTGAGAAAGAGGTACACACACACACACACACACACACACACACACACTGCAGTGCTTTAAAGAGACCGCTTACACCAAGAGACTGGGCTCTGAGAAAGAGGTGAACACACACACACACACACACCGCAGTGCTTTAAAGAGGGCTCTGAGAAAGGTCAACAACACACACACACACACACTCTCTCTCTCTCTCACACACTTTCACAGCAGAAGCGATCAGTGTCACATCCTCATCCTGCACTGTAAAAAGTGCTCCGTTCACTTACTTAATTTTAAGGCAACATGTTTACTTTTTTTTTTTTTTTTTTAAGTAAATAATCTTTAAGCTTAACTGAAAAAATAAGTTATGTGCACTTGACAATTCCACATTACTTAAATCTTTTAGATAAAGCATGAAGATTATTTACTTTTTTTAAATTGAGTAAACCCGTTGCCTTAAAATGAAGTTTAGTGAACTGAGAAGATCTGAGCTCTCACGGCTTCTAGCGGTGTAACGATGCCCTCATGTCACGATTCCATACATATCACATAGATATTATATATCACGATATGATATTATAGCGATACTCCAAGAAACTTTTTTTTCTTTTTTACTGTTGATTAAAAATGCTAAATTCGGTGTGTAAATGACTTGGACTTGGTGCTGAAACCCAAAGCACAGGACAATAGAGACACCAGAATACACATATTCATGATTCTGAAGCTGAAAACAGAATTATTTTAGTTGAATATGCTCATTTCACTGACTAGATTTATTAAAAAATAATGTAAGCCACTTTTTACTGGTAACATCAGACATTTAGCATTATCAGGACCCACAAATATTCCCCCATTGCATTATTATACACTATATTCAATATATAATGACACTGAAACTCTTTCTCACACAGACATTTTTTCATTTTGGGTGAACTATCCACGATACATGTTGTTGTTGTTGTTGTTGCACTTGTGTATTGTGATCTATAGCGACACCCTTATTCGTTGTCCTCCTCAGGTGGAGGTGATCGGCGGCTCTGATAAATATCACGCTGCGTGTCGGATGTGTTACGGAGATCTGATGACGAGTAAAGAGAACCGAGACCCGATGCGAGACGAGACGCCTCCACATCACGTGACGTCAGGGAAACCTGTGGATCACGGCGCGACACGCAAGCTCTTCTCTTCCCTTCACCTCTGAACGGCTGTTACGACCTGAGCACTTAGTGTGTGTGTGTGTGTGTGTGTGTGTGCCTTCTGCTGTTGATTTCCTGTAAATAACTTTAACTTCTTGATCCAGCAAAATATTGTTTGTATCTTCACATCCTTTGAACGTATTTTAATATAAATGATCTTAAACTATTTAAATTTGTCTAACGAGACCAGCTGACATCCTGAAACACTGCCATGGAAGTGATGTTTTATTAGGATTCAAATTGTTTTGTTTTTTTACATTAAACATTTTCTGCTCACTAGGAATTTGTTACATGAGAAGTTAGTTTTAATTCAACAGATGCATGTTAATAAAAATGACATTTCTCAATCAAAGACTTGTTTGTTTTAATTTAGAAATGCACACCAGTGTTTTTGTTTGTAAGTACAATAGAAATGACTGTAATCTGGTTATTCAGAGAAAACGCCTGTAACCTGAAAATATACAAAATGTAAATGCAGTGAAAACATGTGAACTGCATGCAAACCACACAAACAATAAATAATTCAAAACAAAATTGAAATTATTCAAAAACAATCCTGATGTATTAATGTAAATGTTGCTGTATATTATAGAAGCTCGTTTCTGCCATGGCATAAAACTAATTAGAAAGCTTTTTATTTTCTCTGAACTGAGTTATTAATAAAGTTTAGGATTTTTTTTTTTTTTACAAAATTTAATATTTTTATTCATCTAGGACGCCTTAAATTGACAGTTAAAAAATTGTTACAAATTAATTTTTCAGAAAATGCTGTTCTTTTGAACTCTCCAGTCATCAAAGAATCTTAATGTATGTTTCCAAAAAAATTATATTGATAATCAAATGTTTCTTGATCATCAGATCCTCATATTAGAGTGATTTCTGAAGGATCATGTGACACTGAAGACTGGAGTAATGATGCTGAAACTCAGCTTTGATCACAGGAATAAATTACACTTTAATGTATATTCACATAGAAAACAGATGATTTTATAATATTTGACTTTTTACTGTATTTTTGTTCAAATAAACGCAGCCTCGGTGAGCAGAAGAGACTCTTACGGGCCCCAAACCTTTGAAAGCTTGAGAATATCTTGGATTTTATAACTTGTAATTCTGAGAAAAAAAGTCAAATGTGAGATTTTTTCTTAATACCGTGGCAGAAACCAGTTTCCACAGGAGAACCAGACCAGCAGGAGAACACGAGTCCGGACAGATAAACCAGCATCAGTGTGTTTCTGTGGGTCCACACACACAAACAAAAGCATCACACCTGACCTTACAGCCTTTAGCGGCCGCTTCGTCTCCAGTGAATCACATGTTTCTGAGGATCTTTTTGTTCCGCCACATTCCCACTCATTAACAAAACACAAAAACACTGCTGTGATTCCAGGAGTGAGCGACAGATCGGCTTCACTTTATTCCAGCTCATCAGTGCAAATCTCAACTCTACAGAAGAAAACACTATTTACACATTTATGGCCACATTGTAAAAGCACAGTCAGACTCCTATTGGCCGCCAGCCGAGGCTCCTCCCACATCCGAGGCGTCACGTGACCCGGGTGTCGTGTGGGCGGGGCTTGTCAGTGGGCGAGGCTTTGCTGTGGGCGGGGCTTGTCAGTAGACGGGCGGCTGGTACCGGTTCTGGTCGGACGGGTCGGGGTTCGGGATGAATGGCGGCTGCTGGTACACGTCTGGCCCGGTGTTCTGGAAGGACGGGTAAGTGGGCGGAGCATAAGGGGAAGTGATGTCAGTGGGCGGAGCATAAGGGGAAGTGATGTCAGTTGGCGGATCGGCGTAACTCCGGCTCACGTCTCCAACGCCCTGACGGAACCTCACCAGAGCGAAGTAAGTCAACGCTCCCTGAGGACGAGAGATTCGACTGTAAGGGATCGGTTAACCCTCTGGTGCTCTTCGGCCATTTTTGAACGAAAAATTTGTACGTTTTTTTTTTTACTTCATCGCAATGGAAGGAAACTTGGTGAAGGTTTTGGCACTTGCTGTGTGAACACAAAAATCATGGACATGATTTGAAAAGGTTTAATGGTCCTGAAAAAATAGTCCCACTTGTGCTTCTCGCGTGTCAAAAATTACGCATTGAAAATGAATGTGAGACGAAGTTCCTCTAGTGGAGGCGTGTGGAACTGCAGCCGAACACACACTCACTGACGCTCGTTCACTGAGAGATCAGCTCACATGCAGAACACACACTTGTTTAGGTTTATGCCTTTGATTTTCTTGCAGTTTTTTTTTTGAGTAAAACGTGTTTTTGAAAATATAGATTTCATATAAAAATGTATAATAGTATTTGTGTGCATTTTTCATAACAGTATATGTAAAATTCTGTTACTTTTTTTAAGTTCACATTTTTAAACTGTTTTCACTTCAGCAATAATCTGCCGAGTGTCATCTCTGAGAAGAGATCAAACTTCAGTCCGATTTAAGATTTACCAGTTTAAGTTGGAAAGGTAATGTTCAGGTCTATGCTCAAAACGTGAATAAATGGATTATAAATCCAGTGTATATATAATGTAGTACCATAAAAATAAAAAATATTAAATAAAAAACATTATCAAAATAAAATATAGTACATTCATTTCATATATTTGCAATAAATAAATTCGGTAATTTTTGACCGATAAGCGAAGAGCACCAGTAGCCAAGGTTTCTCATGACTTGATTTCCTCATACATCCTCAGTTCATTCAGACGGCTGTATCACACACACACACACACTCTCACTTTCTCACACACACACACACACACACACACACACACACTCTCACTTTCTCACACACACACACACACACACACACACACTCTCACTTTCTCACACACACACACTCACTCACTCTCACATACACACACACACACTCACTCTCTCACACACACTCACTCACTCTCACATACACACACACAAACACTCTCACACACACACACACACACACACACACTCACTCACTCTCACAGGCACACACACTCACTCTCACTCACACACACACACACTCAGACACTCACTCTCTCAATCACACACTCACTCTCACAGGCACACTCACACACACACACACAATCTCTCACTCACACACACTCACTCTCACTTTCTCACACACACACACACACACACTCACTCACTCTCACATACACACACACACACTCACTCTCTCACACACACTCACTCACTCTCACATACACACACACCAACACTCTCACACACACACACTCACTCTCACAGGCACACACACTCACTCTCACTCTCACACACACACACACACACACTCACTCTCACAGGCACACACACTCACACACACACACTCACTCTCAATCACACACACACTCACTCTCTCAAACACACTCTCACTCTCACATACACACACACAAACACTCTCACTCTCACACACTCTCACACACTCTCACACACTCTCACACACTCTCACACACTCTCACTCACACACACTCTCACACTCTCACTCACACACTCTCACACTCTCACTCACACACACTCTCACTCACACTCTCACACACACACTTACTCTCTCTCACACACACACACACACACACACTCACTCTCAATCACACACACACTCACTCTCACAGGCACACTCACACACACACACTCTCACTCACACACACTCACTCTCTCACTCACACACACACACACACACTCACTCTCACAAACACACTCTCACTCTCACATACACACACACTCTCACTCTCACACACTCTCACACACTCTCACACACTCTCACACACTCTCACACACTCTCACACACTCTCACACACTCTCACACACTCTCACACACTCAGTCTCACTCACACACACTCTCACTCACACACACTCTCACTCACACACACTCTCACTCACACACACTCTCACTCACACACACTCTCACACACACACTTACTCTCTCACACACACACTCACTCTCAATCACACACACACACTCTCACTCACACACACTCACTCTCTCACTCACACACACACTCACTCTCACAAACACACTCTCACTCTCACATACACACACACAAACACTCTCACTCTCACACACTCTCACACACTCTCACTCACTCTCACACACTCAGTCTCACTCACACACACTCTCACTCACTCTCACACACTCTCACACACTCTCACACACTCTCACACACTCTCACACACTCTCACACACTCTCACACACTCTCACACACTCTCACACACTCTCACACACTCAGTCTCACTCACACACACTCTCACTCACACACACTCTCACTCACACACACTCTCACACACACACTTACTCTCTCACACACACACTCACTCTCAATCACACACACACACTCTCACTCACACACACTCACTCTCTCACTCACACACACACTCACTCTCACAAACACACTCTCACATACACACACACAAACACTCTCACTCTCACACACTCTCACACACTCTCACTCACTCTCACACACTCTCACACACTCTCACACACTCTCACACACTCTCACACACTCAGTCTCACTCACACACACTCTCACACTCTCACTCTCACTCACACTCTCACTCTCACTCACACACACTCTCACTCACACACACTCTCACTCACACACACTCTCACTCACACACACTCTCACTCACACACAGTCTCACTCACACACACTCTCACTCACACACACTCTCACTCACACTCTCACACACACACTTACTCTCTCACACACACACTTACTCTCTCACACACACACACACTCACCCAGGACGCGATGGAGAAGAAGGAGAAGGCGATGACGGCGTGGGCACCGTCTGTAGGGATGCCGCTCGTGTCGAGGGTCTTCGTCCACTGATCGGCCGTGAGACAGAAACACACAAACCACAGGAAAGTCCAGGCACCTGATCAGAGGAAGTGATGTTTCATTCACAATCACACATACAGCTTTAAAGGTGACTATTACGCCCCTTTTCACAAGATGTAATATAAATCTATGGCGTCCCCAGAATGTGTGTGTGAAATATCAGCTCAAAATATCAGATAATTTATTATATCTTGTCAAATTTGCCCCGTTTTGGGTGTGAGAAAAAACGCTCCGTTTGTGTGTGTCGCTTTAAATGCAAATGAGCTTTAGTGAGCACGTAGAAGCGCCGGATGACAGCACTCACACACGGAGAAAGCCAGACTTTCATGATATTTATCCTTTTATACATCATGTTAGACTAAATAAAAATGTGAAATGTTGCCTTTTTTACATTTTATTATATTTCAGTTTACGTTTAATTTATCTCAAGAAACCAAAATATTTGTATGGCTTTATTTTCAATATTTAACATATAAAAAACATTCTGTCATTTGTTCAGCCTCATGTTATTGTTTCACAGAAGAAGAAAAAAAATTATATATATGGAATATGATTTTTTAATGTTTCTGAAAGAGTCTCTTCTGCTCAAAGCTGAATTTATTTGATCATAAATACAGTAAAACAGTGTAATATTACTCCAGTGTAAATCAGCTGTTCTCTATGTGAATATACAGTAAAGTGTAATTTATTCCTGTGATCAAAGCTGAGTTTTCAGCATCATTACTCCAGTCTTCAGTGTCACATGATCCTTCAGAAATCACTCTAATATGAGGATCTGATGATCAAGACACATTTATGATTATTATCAGTGTTGAAAACAGTTTAGTATTTTTATGGAAACCGTGACACATTTTATTTTTCAAGATTCTTCAATGAATAGAAAGTTCAAAAGAACAGCATTTATTTGAAATAGAATCTCTTGTAACATTATAAATGTCACTTTTGATCAATTCAATGCATCATTGCTGAATATGATATAAGCTATATATCATAAGCATATATAACTTATATTCTAAAATGTATACGTGTGTGTGTGTGTGTGTGTGTGTCTGTAAATGAGAACTTGTTCTAACAAAAATGTTTTTTATGGTTTGTTTTAGTTAAATTTAATGACCCCTGGTATACATTTTTTAAACAAACTTTTGACATCCTACCCACTCGCACAGGAAGACGCCGGTGCAGAAACCACAGCGTTTCACTTTTACAGGACATTTACAGGCAGTTCGTCTGAAACTGATGATGCTACAAGAACAGGTCGTGTGTAAACGCACCACAGTTTCCACAGAGGAACACCTCAGACACTGAACACACACACACACACACACACACACACACACACACACACACACACACACACACACACACACACACACGACTGTGATTGTTCTCAGGGTGACCGATGCAAACATGCACTGACACACACGACAGCCGATCCTACAAACTAAACCTTGGAGATCTTCTCTAGCTCTTTCCATCCACCTATTTTATGCTAATTTACACACGAGTGTGTTCCCGAACGCCAGCGTACACGAAACGAGCGGTTTGTGTGAGAAAACGAACAGTATTTATATCGTTTTTACCTCTTGTAACGCACAGACCGAAGCGCCGGCGTAAGACGGCTAATTAAAATGGTACTAATTTGCGCTGATGTTTAAACCGTTGTAAAAGAAAACAATTACGTATGCTCGCGCGAACTCATCCGGGAGTGGTGAGTTTTCACTTCCGGCGCTTGCCCAGACCGAAGCGCCGGCGCCCTCAGATCACTTGGACGTGGCTGTGTTTACAAGAGGTAAAAACGATATAAATACTGTTCGTTTTCTCACACAAACCGCTCGTTTCGTGTCTTAGGCCATCAATGTGTACTTACATTTACGAGTCATTAAATCATGATTAATTTGGACTTCTCTGGTCATGCTCTTTGAGGTGGTGACCATAGACCTGCATTATATGACTGACAGACAAGAACGGTTTGACCTAAAAATATCAAAATTGAAAATACTGCGGAAACAAAGACACCTACATCTTGGATGCCCTTGAGGTAAGCTAAAACATACCAAAAATTAATTTCAAAGTCAACTATCCCTTTAAAAATTCATAATACAGAACTATTTGTTGCTTCTGGTGTCCATGTGAGCTGTAATCATTTCTGGAGAACCTTTAGAGGTGAAACTGAAACCCAGAGGTCGGCCTCACCTGAGAAGCCCAGATCCGCCAGCACGACGTACTTGCGCTCCTGAGCGCTGCTCATGGACGGCAGGAGAGCATCAGCCAATAGGAAGCCTATACACTCCAGGAATCCGATGACGCCGATTCCCACACCGTAACGACACACTCCGTCGTTCCCGTTGAAGACACACTTCACGTCGGGTTCCGTCGAGACGTTCACGTAACCTTCAGCGGTTATGGAGGCAAACACCACAATGGAAAACACCTGGCATGGAGGGAAGTGAGAGCTGCATCAAAGATCAAACCACAATGCAGAAATAAAAGCAAAACCAACAAAAATATCTTATAAGAACTTCTCCCATTATGTTATACAAATGTTATTTCTGTCTTTTTTATGTGACACTGTGTCATAAGCAGACATGTCCAGGAACAAGCAAGTTGACCCTGAAAAAAATCAATCAAAACTCACAGCCAATCAGAAGAGAGTGTGGGCGGAGTCTCTCTGCAAGCGCACTGCACTCGCAACCAAATTAAGCAAAACTCACAGCCAATCAGAAGAGAAAGTGGGCGGAGTCTCTCTGCAAGCGCTCTGCACTCACAACCAAATTAAGCAAAACTCACAGCCAATCAGAAGAGAGTGTGGGCGGAGTCTCTCTGCAAGCGCACTGTACTCAAAACCAAATTAAGCAAAACTCACAGCCAATCAGAAGAGTGTGTGGGCGGAGTCTATCTGTAAGTGCACTGCACTCGCAACCAAATTTAGCAAAACTCACAGCCAATCAGAAGAGAGTGTGGGCGGAGTCTCTCTGCAAGTGCACTGCACTCACAACCAAATTAAGCAAAACTCACAGCCAATCAGAAGAGAGTGTGGGCGGAGTCTATCTGTAAGTGCACTGCACTCGCAACCAAATTAAGCAAAACTCACAGCCAATCAGAAGAGTGTGGGCGGAGTCTATCTGTAAGTGCACTGCACTCGCAACCAAATTAAGCAAAACTCACAGCCAATCAGAAGAGAGTGTGGGCGGAGTCTATCTGTAAGTGCACTGCACTCGCAACCAAATTTAGCAAAACTCACAGCCAATCAGAAGAGAGTGTGGGCGGAGTCTCTCTGCAAGCGCACTGTACTCAAAACCAAATTAAGCAAAACTCACAGCCAATCAGAAGAGTGTGTGGGCGGAGTCTCTCTGCAAGTGCACTGCACTCACAACCAAATTAAGCAAAACTCACAGCCAATCAGAAGAGAGTGTGGGCGGAGTCTATCTGTAAGTGCACTGCACTCGCAACCAAATTAAGCAAAACTCACAGCCAATCAGAAGAGAGTGTGGGCGGAGTCTATCTGTAAGTGCACTGCACTCGCAACCAAATTAAGCAAAACTCACAGCCAATCAGAAGAGTGTGTGGGCGGAGTCTCTCTGTAAGTGCACTGCACTCGCAACCAAATTAAGCAAAACTCACAGCCAATCAGAAGAGTGTGTGGGCGGAGTCTCTCTGCAAGCGCAATGCACTCAAAACCAAATTAAGCAAAACTCACAGCCAATCAGAAGAGAGTGTGGGTGGAGTCTCTCTGCAAGCGCACTGCACTCGCAACCAAATTAAGCAAAACTCACAGCCAATCAGAAGAGTGTGTGGGCGGAGTCTCTCTGCAAGTGCACTGCACTCGCAACCAAATTAAGCAAAACTCAAAGCCAATCAGAAGAGAGTGTGGGCGGAGTCTCTCTGCAAGCGCACTGTACTCAAAACCAAATTAAGCAAAACTCACAGCCAATCAGAAGAGTGTGTGGGCGGAGTCTCTCTGCAAGCGCACTGCACTCACAACCAAAATAAGCAAAACTCACAGCCAATCAGAAGAGTGTGTGGGCGGAGTCTCTCTGCAAGCGCACTGTACTCACAACCAAAATAAGCAAAACTCACAGCCAATCAGAAGAGAGTGTGGGCGGAGTCTCTCTGTAAGTGCACTGCACTCGCAACCAAATTAAGCAAAACTCACAGCCAATCAGAAGAGAGTGTGGGCGGAGTCTATCTGCAAGTGCACTCCACTTGGAACCAAATAGATAATTACATAATCAAGTTAATAAATATTACACAATTTAAACATTATTAAAAATACATACTAAGTGATTTAGTCTATTGACAATCTTTGTCAATAGATGCTGTTTAATTTCAAGGTTTGAAGTGAATTGTCACTTTTTTAGTACGGCTATGAATGATATTCAAACACTTTTAACATTAAATAAAGCACATAATCAGTACCTGAGATTATTACTGTCACTGTTTATTTGTATGTTGTTGTTCAAACCTCACCAAAATCAATGATAACCCATTATATTATTAAAATATAAATACAGTAGTCAACATTTGGTGTGGATCAAAACCTTTTCATCAAAGTAAGTTTTACCATGAATTTTGAACAATACCCGTTCTTGTCTTAGGACAACTTTGATGAACTTTTTTGATCCACTTCAAATGTTGACTACTGTAATATAACTATTTTTAAGCTTGGTTTAACCCATTATAACCCCACCGACAAACTGAACTGGATGTTTTGATTGGTGTTTGAAACGAGTCAGACCTGTCCGTCAAGCTCAGGACTGTGCAAACGTCCTCAGGCAATGACGTCTGTACTTTAGGGTGAAAAATAAATGTACTGAATTTGAATAGTTTATTGGATTAAATTCACCACAATTTAACTATACTGAAAAAAAAAATACTGTAATGAGAGTAGTTGTTATAAGTGATGGAAACATTGAGAGAAAACAGTCGATGCAAATGTGTGTCACAAGAGATCCGGCTCATGAAAGCCACAGACTCACACAAACCAAACTTTATAATCCCAGCAGTGCAGAAACACAAACGCCACTCGGCCCTCGAGTTACCTGCCATCTGCTGTGTTTACATGTCAGCGCTGGGACGGGGGACATTCTGTACTGGTGTACTATCACACGACACACACCATCACAACTCACCCACTACTGGCCTAATGCTCATGCGACTGGAGAGAGCCCGACTCAAACACACTGCTGTGTGCAAATGTGTGACGCTAGTAAACAAATTACACTGAGTAAATCTAGACATGGTTGACAAGGTCATCTGATGCAGGCACACACACACACACACACACACACACACACACAGGACGAGATATGAATCAGCTCTTACAGACTCTTTGCTCTCGTTTCACAGTGTCTATGGAAAGTCCCTTCGCTGGAAAGTGGATCATGTTCCTGAACGGCACAATTAAGGCCATTAAAGGGTTAATTCACCAAAAAATTAGAATTATCCCATGATTTAATCAACTTTAAGCCATCCTAGACGTATATGACTTTCTTCTTTCAGCCAAACACAATTGAGAGTTGTATTAACCCGCTTCCCAGCTTTATAATAGGAGTAAAAGCCGGTGCATGAGATTTCTGAAGCCCCAAAAAAGTGCATCCATCCATCATAACAGAAGCCAGTGATTATAGTTTATAAAGTTATAAAAATTGATATTTTGCTTCACTTCAGAAGGCCTTTTTTAACCCCTGGAGTCGTATGGATTACTTTTATGATGGATGGATGCACTTTTTGGGGCTTACATTTTTTTAATGTTAATGTTTTAATGTTTAATATCGTTCATTAAATGTTACTTGCAGAGACCATTCAAATGTAACATTCCCATAATGTTTGAAGAAATGTTTCGTTCTCAAAACGTCTTTAAAACATTTTTTTTTAAAATGGAAGTTTTTAGAGAAGATTCAGAAATAACATTTTCAGAAATAACTTAATGGGAAACATTTTGTAAACTGGGATTTACATTCAATGTTGATTCAATTCATTTCGACATGTGTATAGTTTATCAATAGTGAAACGACTTCAAAAGCAGCTATTAGGGCCAATAAGATATTCCAGTAGTAGCACCATCCTACTTTTATACTATTAAAACTTGCAATACAAATTAGTATAAGTTAAACATCATTAAAGCAGTAAAAAAGTGCCGCAAACTCACGAATGACTCATTGATTTATATACCCAGATTATTGATCGCAATGAGTTGAAGGTGACACATGTCACTCACCCAGCTGAGGACTCGTATGATAGTTTGAGGCTGTTTGATGAATTTGATGTGATCGAATCCCGCTCCTGCGAGAGAGGCTCCGTACGCCACACTGTTCGACTCCATCGGTGAAACAAACACACACACACACTCACACTCACACACGCGCGCGCGCGACAGCTGAAAACACAACACGGACACACACCACCGGTGCAGCTGCTTCCTCAGACACTGGTGTCAGATTCGCGAATGAGTCGTTCTTCAGAACCGGCTCTTTTTGCTGATTCAGATGAAAGCAATGAGCGGTTCATTAACAAAAAACAAACAAACTGTTCAAAAGAACCGACTCGCTAAAATGATTCGAACTTCTCGACGCTGCTGCAGAGTGAACATCCAATAAGGTTAAAGATGACACTAAACATTCCGTTAGTTTTTGTTTAATAATAAACAGTTGATTAGGATATTAAAACACAATGATGACGTTCACTGCTAGTCACAGTCACACACACACACACACACAAATAAAAGTGATCCAGTACATACAAATCATCTATTTTTTAATGTGTTATTAAAATGAACATTGTAAACATATACATTTTGATTTATTTGAGATTTTCCCTCCACAAACCCACACAGACTCGTTTGAATCTGACAGTAGACACATTGTTGGCTGGCCTGGTCTTCGCTTCTGATTGGTCAGTCATGTCGACCCAGTGCTTGTCTATTGTCTCGCTTTGAATAAACCTTTGTCTGAACAGAATAACACGTGACAAATCAGTGAAGATATGCTTGTGTCTGTGGGAAACCAAACAGTCAGGCTTAACAGATTAAACTCCATGAAATTAAACTCTTCAAGAATGTCTGTAGAATTATTTAGAGACAGTGTCTTCATACAGGAGAGTTTCGTCCACAGATTCGTCCTCATCCTGTTAAACAGAACGAAATGAGCACAATCTTTAGTCGAAGGGGAACGTTCTTTAATGTTACTTGTACTAGAACGTCAGAACGTTCATTCAAAAGTAACGTTCCAATAATCTTTGAAGAATGATAAAATGGAATGTTCCCTTAACGTTCTCAGAACCAAGAGGAAACATTTGAAAAACTGTTCAGATAGAAAAAAAATCTTAGAACATATATTTTAGTTAGCTGGGATTTTAATGAAACTACATTTGAACTCTAGTGGAGATTCTGCTTCAGATTCAGAAACTGTGATTCAATTAAAAATATTAAAAATAATAAATAATACCTCAGCAGAATCACTTGTTCTGTCAGCGAGGACGACGTCTTCCTCATAACCCTCCAACATCTCCTCAAACTAAAGAACACACACAAACTCTTTCATCTAGTGAGCTTCCTATCAAGACAGTATTATAAGGATGCAAAATATGCCCATTCTGTGTCCTTCATGGATCATGCAAACCTACCCAGAATGCATTGCGGTTAACTCAGGGAACCGATTAATCGCATCCAAAATAAAGGTTTTTGTGTGTTTGCGTAATATATGTGTGTACTGTGTATAATTATTTTGTATATATAAATACACACACATGCATGTTTAAGAAAAATGTGTTATTTATATATAAAATAAATAAATATATATATATATATATATATACAGTATATACATGGAAATATTTCTTAAATATTCATACATGCACGTGTGTGTATTAATATATACAAAATAATTATACACAGTATACATATATTATGCAAACACAAACTTTTATTTTGGATGCGATTAATCGCGATTAATCGTTTCACAGCCCTAATAAACAAACAAATTTGATAATAGTCTATTTATGAACTGAAACAGAAGCAGTGTAAATGCATCCATCCTCACTGGATAATTGTCCTCCTCCTCTTCGTCTTCATGTTTAACAGCGATCTCCATTTTTCTGCGTTGTTTAATGAGTCTTGCATAAAAAAGCACACACAAAAAAAATAGCTCAGTTGGACGTAATGCTAGATTTGTGAATTTGTCAAATTAAAAAGGAAAAGAAAACTCACAAGTGTTTTCCTGAATATCTTCTTCCTGAGATGACAAATTATATCATTAATAATCATCATTTGATTAATTCAAACAATTTATCCTTGCATTTAAAGAGTTAAATAACGAGAGAGATGATAAACTCACGCAGAACGACTCCATAAACACAGCAAGCCATCACAGCAGCGTTCAGCAGAGCGAAGCAGCTCAGCACCACCAGCACCAACGCAGGAGACACGCTGTTCAGGACTACACATCATCACCACAACAACAATACACACATAAATAAATAAAACATAAAAAAAGGAAACTTTCCATTGTGTCATTCGTCAAGTTCAAACATTATGAAACGTCACTTTTAAATGTTCTCTGACACTAGAAACATTTACAAAATGTTCCATGATTGATGTTTTTTGCAATGTTTTGAGAACATTATTAAAGACCAGATAACGTTGAACGAACGTTCTAATAAAGTTACTAGAAGAACTTTTGTTCATAACTTTGAGAGAACCTTCACTCAACGTTCCCTGATATAGTTATTTCATAGTCATTTTATAAACTTTATTCTTTCTAAATATTTGTAAAAAAAATAAAAAATTAAATGTTATTTTAAACGAGTATATCATAAAGTAAAATTATAAATATGCAAAATGTATTTAAAAAAATTTTTTTGATTTTTTTTTGTGAATTTGTAAAAATTCTAATTATGTCACTTTATTCTTCATAATGTCATGAATGAATGTAATTTTCAGTGCTGTCACATCTAACATAAAAGTTTGTTTTTATATAATGTATGTGTGTGTATATATATTATGTTTATTTTATTCATATATATATATATATATGTCTGTGTGTGTGTGTGTGTGTGTGTGTGTGTGTATGTACACACACATATATATTAGATAAACACAAACTTTTTTTGTAAGATGCGATTAATCACGATTAATCGATTTTACAGCACTAAAAAATTACATTAATTCATGACATTATGAAGAATAAAGTTACATCATTTGATTTTTGACAAATTCAATAATCAGAATTCAAGTTCTTCTCTCATTCAATCATTTGGTTCTTTTTTCATTGTTTGACAAGATTCTTCCAATAACATTATTACAGAGTTTGCTCTGTAATCTGGTGTTTAATAATGATCTAAGAACATTAGCAAATATTATAAATACATCGTTCATGAAACTTTTTTTGGAAACATTTAGTTGGACGTTTATCTAATGTTTTTTTTTTTTATGTCACGACTTATTTCAGAGAGCATTCAGAAGTAACGTTCCCATAATGTTGGAAGAATTATACATTGGAACGTTCCCTTAACATTCACATAAAAAAAAAACATTTTAAAATGTTCAGTGATCATTCAGAAATAACGACTTTATAGGGAACATCAGCAAAACGTAATCATTTTGTTAGCTGGACATACAAAAACGGTTTATTTACTTTTTTGTACTATTTATAGTCATGTTTAGATTGAATTGCAGCCAAATTTACCATCCAGTTCATAATCTTTGTATTAAAGTCCCCCTGTAGTCGATCATTTTATCCCTTAAAACTCATCTTTGATCACCAACATGACATATTTAAACGTTTTTTTCCTTCAATGTCTTAAAATATCTTGAATGTAACTCGACACCCTCGCCTCATTTAGTATGCCACCTCTATGAATATGCAAATGAGCCCCGCCTCCACTCACTCCCTCAGCTCAGAGATCCACTGGTTGACGATCACACGTTGATCTGATTGGTTACAAGGTCGTTTGTGACGTCAGAAACACCAGCGATTTCAAACCGTGTTTTTGAGACTGTCTTTGGTTCACTGCAGTTTTAAGGAGGAAATACTCAGCAATGCTGTCGACTTATGAACTTACACGTGGTTTAAGCGTATTAAAAACACCACATAGACACATAAACAACATTAAACACTGGATTTTCACCACAGGGGGACTTTAATTTAGCCTGATAATAAACTGATATAGCTGAGTGTGTTATTCGGAGTGAGGCTTCATACCCTCTTTATTGATCAGCATCTTGGCGCTGCGGACGCTGGTTCTGTTGTCGAAGCGGTCCGAAGCTTCGCAGTGGTAAAAGCCAGCGCTGTCCGGACCCACAGACAGAGCCAGAGCCGAGTCGTCGGACCAGGCCACCGCATAGAAACCTCCTCGGCCCTCCAGCCTGGTGCTGTTCAGGAACCAGCGGTACTGTGGGAACGTCCCTCGCTCAACCTTACAGAGCAGAACCAGGCCGACCACCTGGAAGTCCCGCCCGGTGTGTGTGACGGGCCTCACCGTTACAGCGCCGCCGACAGACTCTGTGTGTGAGAGGAACACATCTGTACATGCAACTCTGAGAAGCATTGACAAAGGTTACAGGAGTAGTTCACTTCAGAATTTAAATTTCCTGATAATTCACTCTCCCGCACGTCATCCAAGATGTTCATGTCTTGTGAAATAAAGGTTTTTGAGGAACACACTCCAGGGTTTCTCCATATAGTGACTTCAATGGGGTCCAACGGGTCGAAGGTCCAGATGTGAGTTTCAGTGCAGCTTCAAAGTCTCGACACGATCCAGCCGAGGAATAAGAGTCTGATCTAGACAAACCAGCGGACATTTATAACAAAATACACATTTATATACTTTTAACCACTAATGCTGGTCTTGCACGAGCTGAAAGGTCACGCGTGTTCCGGTTCAAAAATGTAGAGTTGGGCGAAAAACTCTCATCTCATTTTCTCCTCCAACATTGTTGTTTTACCTTTTATTTTTTATTTTATAAAGGGCGTTTGAATCAGTCTCTGCACGTCTGCTTTGTAAACACTAGATTTGTTCTTACGCCTACGTCACGCTTGACCTTTCACCCTGATTACGTAATGTGTGTCGCATCACAGCTCGTGCAAGACCAGCATTAGTGGTTAAAAGTATATAAATATGTATTTTGTTATAAATGTCCGCTGGTTTGTCTAGATCAGACTCTTATTCCTCGGCTGGATCGTGTCGAGACTTTGAAGCTGCACTGAAACTCACATCTGGACCTTCGACCCGTTGGACCCCATTGAAGTCACTATATGGAGAAACACCTGGAGTGTGTTCCTCAAAAACCTTCATTTCTTTTCAACCGAAGAAAGAAAGACGTGAACATCCTGGATGATGTGGGGTTGAGTGAATAAATTAGGAAATTTGAATTCTGCAGTGATCGGGTCCTGTGACGGAGCTACACACCCCCGGTCAGGTTTACCGGTTCACTCAGAACCCAGTTGCCCTCGTTGCTGGCGTTGCATCTCACGCGACCCGTGACCCGGTTCAGCTCGACCGGCACATGGAAGATTGCGCTGGTTCCTTCAGTGGTGTTCTTCGTGATGACGTCGGTGTCGTTCAACAGGCTGAAGGTAATTAACGGAGATCCTTTCAAAGACCGGCACGTGACGATGGCTCTAAAGCCAGCGTCTCCAAGCTTCACCACCTCGAGGGAGATTTCAGGCTTCGACACGTACTCTAGAAGAAAAAACGTTTTCAACTCCATTAAACTGATCAAAAGTGACATTTATAATGTTACAAAAGATTCCCTTTCAAATAAAAGCTGTTCTTTTGAACTTTCCATTCATCAAAGAATTATGTAAAATAAAATGTGTCAGTTTTCAACATTGATAATAATCATAAATGTTTCCTGATCATCAGATCCTCATATTAGAGTGATTTCTGAAGGATCATGTGACACTGAAGACTGGAGTAATGATGCTGAAAATTCAGATTTGATCACAGGAATAAATTACACTTTACTGTATATTCACAGCTGTAATAATATATCAAATTTTTACAGTATTTTTTTTATCAAATAAACACTTTTTTCTAAAAACAAACTTGTGAATGGTAGTGTAATACGATGATTAATCTGTATATCCATTATACCTTTGACCTGCACAGATATGACATCACTGCAGCTGAAGGTCATCGTGTCATTGAATCGGTTTGATGCCACACACGTATAATTGCCTGTGTGTTGCACAGAGAGCCGGTGTATGATCAGTGTGTCGCCAGTCGTGTCGTACGGCCTTTCGTTCCTAAGCCACTCGTAGGAGACGTACGTTCCTCTGCTCTCTCTGCACTGGAGGCTCAAAGTTTGTCCTTCCCACACGGTCTCACTGGCGGCATGAGGAGCGATTGTCACGTCCTCCACCGGGACTGCAGAACAAACGGCAAAAACACTGCAATTTGCTGAAGATGTTGATATTTACACTCACCTAAAGGATTATTAGGAACACCACACTAATACTGTGTTTGACCCCCTTTCGCCTTCAGAACTGCCTTAATTCAACATGGCATTGATTCAATAAGGCGCTGAAAGCATTCTTTAGAAATGTTGGCCCATATTGATAGGATAGCATCTTGCAGTTGATGGAGATTTGTGGGATGCACATCCAGGGCACAAAGCTCCCGTTCCACCACATCCCAAAGATGCTCTATTGGGTTGAGATCTGGTGACTGTGGGGGCCATTTTAGTACAGTGAACTCATTGTCATGTTCAAGAAACCAATTTGAAATGATTCGAGCTTTGTGACATGGTGCATTATCCTGCTGGAAGTAGCCATCAGAGGATGGGTACATGGTGGCCATAAAGGGATGGACATGGTCAGAAACAATGCTCAGGTAGGCCGTGGCATTTAAACGATGCCCAATTGGCACTAAGGGGCCTAAAGTGTGCCAAGAAAACATCGCCCACACCATTACACCACCACCACCAGCCTGCACAGTGGTAACAAGGCATGATGGATCCATGTTCTCATTCTGTTTACGCCAAATTCTGACTCTACCATCTGAATGTCTCAACAGAAATCGAGACTCATCAGACCAGGCAACATTTTTCCAGTCTTCAACTGTCCAATTTTGGTGAGCTCTTGCAAATTGTAGCCTCTTTTTCCTATTTGTAGTGGAGATGAGTGGTACCCGGTGGGGTCTTCTGCTGTTGTAGCCCATCCGCCTCAAGGTTGTGCGTGTTGTGGCTTCACAAATGCTTTGCTGCATACCTCGGTTGTCAAAGTCAAAGTTGCTCTTCTATCAGCTTCAATCAGTCGGCCCATTCTCCTCTGACCTCTAGCATCAACAAGGCATTTTTTTAAACATAATGCAATGTACTGAAATGATGATTGAGAGATGAACAAATAAACCTTCTTCAAAAGCCTGATGATCATATTTGATAATAAATGATGGATAATCAATAAACCTGCTTCAGTCCAGCTGAAATATTACTAATATCAAAGTTATTCTCGCGTTTACATGATAAAATCTAAGGAAGCTTGTTTCCGCCACAGAATAAAAAATAAAAAAGGTCATTACGACTTTTTCTCACAATTCTGACTTTTTATCTCAGAATTGCGTGATATAAAGTCGCATTTGCAAGTTATAATGTCAGAATCGCGTGATATAAAGTCGCAATTCTGACTTTTTTTTCTTGCAATTGGAAGTTTGTATCTCGCAATTCTGACTTTATAACATGCAATTGTGAGATATAAAGTCTGAATTGCATGATATAATGTCGCAATTGCATGTTATCAAGTCAGAATTGCAAGATGTAAACTCGATAACTGCGATAAAAAGTCGCAATTATCTTTTAAAATGTTTTATTCTCTGGTGGAAACAATCTTCCATGAAACTCAGTGTAGATTTGACACAGAAAGACTCGTGAAGCTCGAGCTGAAGGAGGACGTTTGTACAATTACACTGAGAGACTTTTACTGGATAAAAGAGTCTAAACTCTCAGTCACACACAGAAGCACTGGAGGAGAGTGTGTGAAAATATCACTTCGAACATTTATAATACAGTAGTTTTAAAGGGTTAATGAGATACCAATGACTTTGAGGTCCAGGCCTTGACTGAGCGAGCTCTGGATGTCTGTGTTGTTGTGTCCGCTGGCCTTGCAGACGAGCCGACCGTCGTGTTGTGATTTGATTAACAGAGGAAAAGTGGCTAATTCTCCAGACAGAGAGCTGTACTGCGCGATCATCCTCCCCGGGTTTGACTCGACATAGAGCTCGTATAGGACAGGCACCGAAGCCGGGATCCCAGGAATCTCGCAGTAGAAATACTCAATCGAACCGTTTAATGCAACGGACGGACCTTCCAGAACCGGTTCATCAAGCTTGTGCTCATCCAGAGCTCCTGGAACAGAGGAAAAGAGTCGAGAACACACACACACACACACACACACACACACACACACACACACAGCAAACAAATATGCTCTTCCTCAGTCTTGTTTTCCAGTACAAAATATCTAAACATTCTTAAATCAAGATACATTTACTGGAGAAGAAACAAAATGACTGACGATAACAAGTGCTTTTTCTGAAAAATATATAAAAAATTATGCTTAAAACAAGAAAAAAATAAAACATCTGCCAATGGGGTAATATCAATAATCATTTTTTGAAAAAAAAGTACATTTTTTTCTGACCCAACTGTCAGATATTTTTCTTGTTTTAATCTAGTCACATTATTTTTATACAGTTTTCCAAAAACAAAACTTAATCACGTAAGTAATTTTGCTTCTCAGGTAAATATGTCTGATTTAAGAATGTTATCTGTGAAGGAAAATGAGACGTTTTTTTGTTTTGTTTTTGCAGTGCATCTTATTTAAAACACTTAAAAATATCAGAATGTCATTGCATTTGATGACACGTTTGTTGGGTTTGAAATGATAAAGCAATAGATGTAGTACTGAAGATGAAGACATTCAGTGTTGTTTTTGTTTGTGGTGATCATAATTCAGGCAATAATGCAATTAAGTTCATAATTATCTCGGTGAACAAACACATTCCAATTGATGCATTTTGCAGATGCTTTCATCCAAAGCAACTTGAGTCGCATTCAATATATATTACAGTAGTCAACATTTGAAGTGAATCAAAAAAGTTCATCAAAGTTGTCCTAAGACAAGAACAGGTATTGTTCAAAATTCATAACTTTAATGAAAGGTTTTTATCCACTTCAAATGTTGACTACTGTATCAGTTCTTGGGAATCTAAACACGTGATCTTGGCACTTTTTTGGGGTATTAAACACACACACAAACACACACTTAACCATTACTATCTATATAACCCCAGATAAAAATGGCAGGAAAAGAAAGCCACGTACCCGTCCTTGGATACAAGACAGAAATACCTGGTGGAAAAATATACATACATAAATGAAAAGAGACGTCAACAGACACCACATGAAAACATCCATCAGATATGCACAAGTTTCCTCCACCTATGAGAATCAGTGAAACATGCATCGACTCCATCCTCGCTGAATATCCAGATCCAAACACCAGAATGATCTTTATATTAATGATCCAAACACCAGAATGATCTTTATATTAATGCAGCAAGTGAACACACACACACACACACTGAAGGACGTGTCTCACTTCAACAGAGCTGATGGGATCCACCCTAAACACTCCATGTGTCGAGCACAGATAGGGCAGATCATGCCAATGCAAACCACACAACAACGATGGAAGATTGTGGAGAACACATTGCATGAACATCTGAGATAAACTATGTACTGCCTATAATATTGTGTTTGCAATAATACGGCCTAAAGGCATGATCGCTCGGCCTCTTTAGATTCAGATTTAGATTAGTGTTCAGAAGTCATTTTGACTTCAGTCATAATGTTTTTTTTTTATAAAAGTATTGGTGTACGGAAAGATAACATGAACATTTTCAGGACAGGAAAATTATAAACCGTTCATCATGTCATGGGTCGTATGGAGCACATTCTTCCCAGTGACACACATTCTGTTGAATTTAGTTTTAATAGTTTTTTTCCATCTGAATGCACCAACAAAATCAATGGTGAAGAAACCAAACAAGGAAGTATTGGCATTGACAACACTTTGTATGTTTTAAAGTTAGTGACCTCGAGTAAGTGCCAACAGCACAACCTACTGGTGTAAAGTTGTAAATTAATCTTAAATCCGATCATAAACTTTGCGATTTGTTAATTTTGAAACCAAGTCTGAGCTTTCACATTCTCTATAATAATTATACAAAAACTATTTGGCGCTCTTGACGTTTTGGCGCGGTTTTCCCGTAACTGCTTCAGTTCAAATGACACGTGACGTGAACCGATCATCTGTTCCTCTGCCCGACTAGTAATAATAGCACGGAATAAACATGAATAACCTCAGAAGGTATGTTGAAAGATACAGAACCACTTACTGAAAGGAATCATGTCTCATGTAATCGCTCAGCTAGTGTTTTAAACGCGAAAAGACGTCAATAAAACAGCTTGAGAACGATGTCACGTCGTCACATTTACCTCAGAACAGACATTCATTGATGTTTCATGATATTTCGTGAATAAGTCGTTGAAATGTGTAAATTTTTACAACGATCTGGTGTAAAACATAATTATATTACTAAATATAAAACTGTTATGTGCAATATAAATGTTTACACTTGAGTGTTATCATCATCTAACATAGATATCTAACTGACAAGGTTCCCTGTTTTCTGTAAGAAAAAAAAAATCGACATACTGTACCTGATATGCAAATGAATCAAATTGAGATCATAATATACCGACGTCAAGAGCGTGTGAATCGAATTGAATCTTGAATTCTGTGTTAAAACCAAGCCCTTGTTTAAAAAAAAAGTCCTTCACAAAAAATGACTCCAATACTTTTGTTTGTAACAATATATTTTTTACAGTGTTGGATTGTCATGATCATTGATAATACAACAATGTCACTAATGTTTTTGACCCTGTATTTATTAATTAATTTATTTATCTTATCTATCTATTTATTTATTAATTATTAAAGCAAGTTCAATAGCAACATTTGGTAAATTAAACATTTACTTGGTATATAAAAGCCTTACAATCTTAAACATACGACACATTTACAACAAAAAGTTTAGCTCCAACCATAATTAAATACACCTGAACCAGCTAACCAAGGTCTTCAGGATCCCTAGAAACTATAGTGTGGTTGGAGCAGGTCTGGTCTGGTCTAGTCCGCAAAATTCACGATGAATGTTTTCATTTCCACAGTTTGAGGTTTAAAGGAAACGTCAGCTGGAAAGTTCATTCTGCTGAGAAGAACAGAAGAGAGATTAGATCCGTTCCTTACACGGCATCATATCCAAATGAAGCTTTTGAGAGACTAAAACTCACGGCATCGCATCAGACTGGATCTCATCTGAAGGAGAAAGAGAAAGAAAAGCATGATAAAGACCTTGTGCCAAAAACACATGATGAAACGAGTGGACTGAACTTACGGTTAATGCCATGTTTCCAGGAGTTGTTTCTGCGCTTGGTGCTCCAGAACAGAAAACATGAGGCTCCTACGATCACCATCAATAGGAAACCACAGAAAACTAACGCAATGACCTCCATGGGCGTCGCTGACAAATCTGTGCAAGAACATACGAAACAAAAGCATCATCAACTTTCTCTAAAGTCACCATGAAATCAAAACTGACAATTTTTTTTAATGTAATATTGCAGTGATTATTCTAAGAGTACGTTTACACGACAACGCTATGCTTAAAACGGAGAAGTTTTTCCTTTGAGTTTTCCGCGTACAGACACGGATCCACGAAAAAGATTAATAACGCTGTATTCTGCTGCCAGGCCAGTAGATGGCGATGAAACACTATAGACTGAACACGTAACACGCATGTGCATGACATCATTGCCTCCAGAGATTCGCGTTTTTGTTGTTTACATGCGATCGGACCAACCAACACAAGTATCGAAAACGAAAATAGGGAATCGATTTTAACGGCTTTTTTTTCTTTTCTTTTTTACCAAAAATGTGTTTTAGGTGGACAGATCAATACAGCACACAGAACATGTAGGATGTTGTAAAATAACAATGTCTTTTCTGTTCACCAAATGCTATTTAATATTCTCTATTACTTCAATGCAAGTGAACAAGCGCGCCGTTATTTGTTGCTTAGTGACGTGTGTGTTCAAGTGAGCCAGAAATTTAATATATAATATATTTAATATATCATGAGGACCACGAGTTGCGTATTTGCACTAAATCCGCACAGATTTGTCTTACACGAACTTCCCCAGCAAAGTGAGTAAACATATGTAGCCCCCCCCCCCCCCCCGTAGGGCTATGGCAGTGCTTACTACGCCACCCCTTGGACAGGACTAGTAAGAGCAAGAGGACTCTATGTTACAACAAAAGCATGCCCAGGCTTGGATTAACAAAGTGTAAAAAAATACAATCTTTATTTTTTTGGTTTCAGTAAAAAACATGAGTCGCTTTTGGTTGTCCATAAATAACATGAAAATACATAATTTAACATAGGGATAGTACATAGGAGGGTGGGCCACCGGATTACAAGCCGGCCCAGGCCTAGGTTTCAATACCACACGTGAACTAAGGCGCACCCTTGATGTAGAACCAACACTATAAACACAGCCTTCACACCCACAGCAATCACGCTCCTTGAGCCATTTCTAAAAGGTGCACACGTCACAGCATTACACTGCACACATTGGTTCCCCAAATGGGTGAAACACTCAAATTAAGCTAGAACCTGGTGCGCTAGTCTTTCCTATGGGCCCGACCCACCCCAAGACTACTACTGGGGAGGGGGATGAAACAAACAAATACGAAAAGAAGAAAAATCGCTAGCCGGTGGTCACAATTAGTTCACTAACACCAATATCTTACAATCCACCGGTTAGCAGGAAAAAAAAAAGAAAAAAACATTTACCAAAGAAACTGTCTAAAAAGCAGCACCTGCACATTCATACACATTTAAACATTCAAAAGAACAGCAGCCGACAATGGATTGGCTGTAGCCTCTATAAAAAAACAAGAGACGCAGTTGAGTGCTCTGTGTGCCTAAAATTTATAAGCAGTCAGTCCCTTATATAGCTACTAAACCCCCGCACACATGCCAACCACCAGACAATAAATTCATCATCAGTCAATCTATTTACATAAAGCTGCTAAACGCACATTCCCTTTTTACCACACACATAATAATCATAGCCATTACATACCCGCCTGCCGTCAGGTGATTGTGTGGGTAGACAGTGTTTCGCCGCATCCCACTTTCACCAGGCTCACGAAACGCTGGTGAACATAACACCGGAGCCCCATTACAACCAAAACAATAAACAAGCAGGGAACGCTAACACAGTCAGATTAAAATGTACCTCCGAGTTCGTCAATCTAGGCGTTCCCACACGTTTCAGAAGCATACACACCAACAGTCGTGCTGTTGGCAGTCACTCGCCACCTTGCGCTAACAGCACCCCGGAATACTGCCGCGCTCCAACCCGTTAGCAGCTAGCTACAATGCATGGCTAACGGCATAAGGACCCCAGATGCCTATATACCTGCCTGCTCTCAATTCTAACCACTCCCACCCACATTAGGTACCGTAGCAGCACGGGGGGGAGTGAAAGCAAGCCGAAGTGGTGAAGGAGAGAGATGGAAAAAAAGGACCAAAACAAACGTCTCAAACCCACAGGCTACAATCCACCCCCTCCAAATGAATCGGCGCCCCGACGATGACACCTCATGTCTGGGGGTCTTCATCCCCCATTTCCGATGGACCATAATTTATGCCCCTAATCGACCTGGGTAGATGGTAAGGATTGGAATGTTGCCCTGCTGTAGACCTCGCTGAACGCCGCATGGCCACAGTGTTGTCCTCAGGCACCTCAGCTGTATCTTCAATGTCAATTTCCTCCAACGCTGAAGTGCCGGTTGAAGCAGGTGCAGCTTGGGGCTCTTGTTCAGCACCATACCAAATGATCACATCCTGGGCATAACCATCGTCACCAACAGGAGGGTCTTCGGGGGTCTCCTCTTCCCGAGCTGGACCAGGAAACCCACCAGGCCCGGGCCTCAATCCCGCAGGGACGCCGCGCATCTCAGAGCGATGCACCTGTCGAACAGATCCACCCGCATCTGCAGGAATCACCGTGTATACCGCTCCTGCTCCAGAAGGGCAGCGCACCACTCGATAGGCTACAGAGTTCCAGTAGTCCTGGATTTTATTTCTCCCATAGGGGTGATTCCGCAGATAGATCAAATCCCCTTCTTGGAAGCCAGCATCATTCACCTGATCATTATGGCTCTGGTTCCGCCGGAGAGCCAATTCTTCTGATCTCTGTCTGACGTGTTCATGAGCCATCCTGACGCTTTGCTGGTGTTTTTCAACCCACTCTTCTAGGGTGTTGGTGTCTGGGACAGCCTCTCTGGTACCAAGCAAGAAATCAACTGGCAGTCTTGGATGGTGGCCAAACATCAAATAATATGGGGTATGCCCTGTGGTCTGGTGGGGAGTAACATTATAGGCAAAGGTGAGCTGAGGCAGATGGTGTGGCCAACGACGCTTCTCTGTCTCGGGTAGGGTGCGCAGCAAGTCGTGAAGTGTGCGGTTGAACCGCTCGCACTGGGCGTTACCTTGAGGGTGGTACGGAGTGGTGCGGCTCTTTTGTATACCGTACGTCTGACACAGTTGCCGGATCAGGAGGCTCTCAAAGTTTCGTCCCCGGTCGGAGTGTACACGGGCTGGGGGACCAAACCTGTGGAACCATTGCTGCACCAGAGCCCTGGCCACCGTGTGCGCTTTTTGGTCTTTAGTAGGGACAGCCTGCGAGTACTTTGTGAATATGTCTCTGAGGATCAAGACATTCTCTCGTCCATAACTAGCCGGCTCTAGCAGAGTAAAGTCCAGAGCTAAGATTTCATTTGGTCGAGTGGCTTGCATCGTAGACCAATATGTACGGACTTTAGGCTGGACCGCCTTCCCCACAACGCATCGCTGGCACTGCTGGCACCACTGTTCAGCATCTTTAGTCATACTGGGCCAAAAACATCGACTCCGGAGTAGCTGGAGTGTTCTTTCCGTGCCTTGGTGCCCCTGCTCGTCGTGGACACTCCGTAGAACTTCTGCTTGCAGGCACTGGGGCAGCAATAACTGGAGAGTCTCCGGACCTCCCCCTGTTGCATGAATCAGGCGATAAAGAACTCCTTCCTCGTCGACTAGGCGGTCCCAGTGTCGGAGCAGGGCTCTGCTGGATTTGGGCAACACTCCACGCTCCGCTGCCCCTGGCCGCCGCCCTTCGTGATAGTACTTCTTCACGGGTCCAATGACTAGGTCGGCTTCCTGAAGCGAACTTAGATCCTGAGGTGTACGCCCCGGTAGGGCCACCACCTCCCCGCATTGGCCCTCTATGACAGGTGTCAGACCAAGGCTGGTCAATGCGCCCAGGGCGGGGACCTCCGTCCCGACGGTGAAACGTTCCAGGTACTGACGAGAAAGAGCATCCGCATTCTGATTGCTCTTGCCCGGCCGATATCTGAGGGTAAAATTGAATGACGCCAGCTGAGAAGCCCACCGCTGTTCGGTTGTGCCCAGCTTTGCCGTAAGCAGATGGCTCAGGGGGTTATTATCAGTGAGGATTGAGAAATGGTTCCCCAGCAAATATTCACGGAACTTTTCTGTTACCGCCCACTTTACCGCAAGTAGTTCCAGCTTCATGGAGCTATAATTCTCCATGTTTCTTTCGGCAGCTCTGAGTCCCCGACTGGCAAATGCAACTGGGCGCACCTTCCCTTCATGTTCTTGGGAAAGGACTGCACCCAGGCCTCCGTAACTGGCATCTACCTCCAAGATGAAAGGCTTCTTAAAGTCGGCATATGCCAGTACTGGGGCCGAGGTAAGTCGCTCCTTCAGCGACAGAAATGCTCGCTCACATCCCTCGTCCCATGCCGATGCCAGCGGAACTGGGGGGGTCTTTCCCTTTCTTCGGGGTCCGCTGAGTCTCCCTACCAGCTGGTGAAGTGGGGCTGCCAACTTTGAAAATCCCTCCACGAAGCGCCGATAATAGCTCGCGAAACCGAGAAAAGATCGTAATTCGGCCAGGTGTCCAGGACGTCTCCACTCCTTGACCACCTCTATCTTGGCGGGATCCGTAGCAACTCCCTCAGCAGAGACCACATGCCCCAAGTAACTGACCTGGCGCTGGAAGAAGTGGCATTTTGACAGTTTCACTTTTAGTCCCTGTTTTTGCAGACGGGAAAACACCTCTCCCAGTCTTTCCAGATGCTGCTGAACGGTGGTAGAAAAGACGATCACATCGTCCAGGTACAGTAAAACGGACTGATATCTGCAATCGCCGAACATACGCTCCATCAAACGCTGGAACGTTCCAGGTGCATTGCACAGTCCGAAGGCCATTCTGTTAAACTCGAACAGCCCAAAAGGGGTACAGAAGGCAGTCTTTGATTTATCCTGCTCCACCATTGGAACCTGATTGTATCCACTTGCAAGGTCCAAGGTGGAAAACCATTTCGCTCCTGAAAGTGCATCCAATGATTCTTCTATACGAGGAAGGGGATAAGCGTCACGGCGGGTTTTTGCGTTTAACT